TTATCATTAATGTCTTCAGCTTAATGTCTCCAGCTTCGTGCAGGATACCCTATGGCAGCGGTTCCCAACCTTTTATGGTTCGTGGCCCCCTTTCGGCGCCTTTTTGCACTCGTGGCCCCCCTGTTCGCCATTTCAAGAAAATTAAACATGTTGGATTGTATTATGTTTTTACCAGTGGCGGCGCGTCAATAGGGCCAACCGGGGCAATGCCCCGGTTGTTTTTTCGGTATAATAAAAAATATTCGAAAAATACCTCAATATCGGTTGCACAGACTGTCTACACTAGCCATATTCTCCCGACATGGTTCATTTTTCGCTCGCAAAGCCTTCGCCGAACGTCGACGGGGCGACGCCGATTTTGGCCCGGTTGCTCATTGTATATCGTATTCTCTCTTTTATCTTCCACTCGCCGCGTTTGTCTCGTTTGTTTTCTGTTTCTTTTACTAAATCATCGGGGCCGATCGGGGCTAGCCCCGAAATTATGACGACACAATGCCGACGTTTCTTACAACAACGTGTTGACATATTCACGCATTCCTTCTCGTTCGTTGGTTGCTTGAAGAGTTGATAGTTTCCTCGCCTTCGTTTTTGTCGCTTGTTTCGCTATTTGAATCAGTTAGAGACCTTTAGTCCATTTGCTTTCGATTTTCCACATTCCTTTTGAGCTCCTCACTTCCTTCCGGCTTCGCATTTCTTAGCCTTATACCTCATAATGAATAAGGTTGATGCACACTTCGCACTCCGTTTTCGCAGCTGCCGCTGGAACAAAAATTAGAGGTACAACGTCTTGGGCCTTATCAACCAAAAAATTGTTCACTGGAACAATTCCATGACGGAGGAAAGCGTCGGCGTACATTCTGCGCAGAAACTTGGTATAAAAAACCCGAATGGTTGTGTTACAGCGAGGACAAAAATGCACTTGTTTGTTTTTATTGCCTACTTTTTGCTACCGCCCGTGACTCACGTTGGTGTAAATTTGGTTTTAGAGATCTTAAACATCTTTCCGAGCGTGCCAGGGATCATCAATCTTCTATGGAGCATCTGGACAATGCAGTAAAATACCAAACATTCGGAAATGTTAATATTGCAGCACAGTTGGATGAAGGACGCACGGTTTCTATTCGTCGGCACAACCAAAACGTCGAGAAAAACCGCCATGTTCTCGGTCGATTGATAGATGTTTTGAAGTTCATTGGTTGTCACGAGCTGTCCCTCCGTGGGCACGATGAACGGGCTGGCTCTTCTAATAGAGGGGTATTTTTGGATATGGTGGAATACACCGCATCCCTAGATACAGTATTGAGAGATCATCTTGATGCCGCAACTGTTTCGAAAGGGACATCTAGGGATATCCAAAATGATTTGCCCGACTCAATGTATAAAATTTATTTACAACATTTGGCTCTGGAAATTGAGAATTGCCAGTTCCTTTCGATTCAGTCTGACGGAACAACTGACATCACGTGCGTTTCCCAACTGGCTGTGATTTTTCGGTTTGTGAAAGATGGTAAACCTACCGAGAGATTTTACAGCTCTGTACCAATCGTTGGTCGCACGGCTTGCGGGATATCGGCTGTACTGAAAGAAGTGTTACAGCCTTACAACGCGAAGTCAAAATTGATAGCTCAAACTTATGACGGCGCGGCAGTCATGAGTGGGTCGAAACATGGTGTTCAAGTTTATATAAAAGAAGATTTTCCTCATACGCATTTTTTACATTGTTATGCACACCAATTTAACCTCGTTATTAAAAATATGTGTCTTGATACCCCTATCGTCCGTATATATTTTGCAAATGTTTCGGGGTTTTCTTCATTTTTTTCCGTTTCGCCGAAGCGCTCTGACCTCCTTCGCCAGATATGTAGCCGCCGTCTCCCAGATTGTGCACCAACACGTTGGAACTTCCAATCACGCGTGGTGCAGGGCGTGTCCGAAATTAGGTCTGAGCTCATTGAGTGTTTCAATGGCATTCAGAGCCCTCCGGTTTGGGACGAACGCTCTGTGAGGGAGGCGGCAGGTCTAAAGCGTCTGCTAGAAGATGGTGAGTTTTCATTTTTTCTCGCTTTTTTCTCCACAATATTCTATCACGTGGATGTATTATACGGCGCATTGCAGTCAAGGCTAATGGATGGGGCGTCTGTGCAGTCGTGTATTTCAGACTTCTGCGATGCTGTATCTTGTATCCGGGAATCAATAAAATACGACGACACATGGAGTGCTTCTTTACGCCGCGGGCAAACAACGCAGCGTTTGATTTTGTCTGCAAAGGAATGCTGTGACATTCTTGTGAAACAAATAGGCGATCGTCTGCGCACTGAACACCTTGCCGCGTTCTCTTTGATGAACCCCAAAAATTTTTCAAAATTTGCACGTCAATTTCCCATCCATTTGTTGGCTACTGTCTCCAAATTTTACCCCATGATAAATGTGGGTAAATTGGAAAATGAATTGCGATGTATATACACCAATCAAACTTTTTTGAACATCACATCAACTTGCGCGCTCTATGGGTTCCTCATAGATAACACTCTAGTAACTACCTTTGCGGCGTCTGCATAATTTCTGGACATCATTTTGACGACGCCTATTTCTTCCGCCGACGCAGAGCGAACATTCAGCACGCTGAAGCGTATTAAAACGTATCTCAAAAACACAATGAAGCAAGATAGATTAAATTCCTTGGCTGTTTTATCCATTCACAGAGACGGTATTTCTGGGATGCATGACTTTAATCAGCGCGTTATTGAGCATTTTGCTTCCAAGAAACCGCGGCGTGTTGCATATATGTTCAAGCAGTAGAAGTCTAGCAGCATATATATCTATGAGTGAGCGACGCATGTCCTTATCTTTGCATTAGCTTTCCTTTCTTCATAGTAACGTTTTAAACCTTATTTTAGGTTTTGTCTGCTTTCCCGAAGTTTCTGTTAATATGTCATTGTATTTATCTGGGTAAATATTGTTTTTCCTTTTGAAAGAGGTTTCAAAATAAACTATGTCTATATTTATTAATCCCTTGACTTGGACCGGTTTTAAAGACACTTTCTTATCGTTAAAAATTGTCGCTTTTGCCGATTGGTTGTTACCGATGGAATGGTTTTTATACTCATAAAATGATGGGAGAACTTACAGCTCTCATCCTGTCCCCGTAGATGGGGGTGACTTGGTCCCGCAGTAGCTTGCCCCGGTTGTCAAAATGACCACGCGTCGCCACTGGTTTTCACCATCTTTTATGGGATGCAAAAGCAAGACAATAAACTAAAACCTTCTGTTATACAATCAATGGGAATCTTGCGCTTGGGACTGTCTCAATAGGTTCCCTATATTAGGCAGTAGGCACCGTCTTTGATAATACCGGACAAATGTCACTGTCGTATTAGTGGGTGCGAATCTGATATGCCAATTCATAGCTGCATTCAAGAACGGGTTTTTCCTCCGAAAAAACCCGAACTCGGTCAATGTTGCTTCCTTATGAAATCTAACTCGCTTGGCAGACAAGAAATCGATGCCAACGTTTTTCACTTGGAGGTCATTTTTGTCACTGTGGGTTTGGAGTTTACTAATTTATATGGACGTAATGAATCATTTTGATCGTTGCATACGAGCAATGCAAACATTGCGCTCATTCTCTGTCAGCTCGATTTACTTTGGTAAAGCCAAAGCCAACGTAACTATTGTTCCATTTTCGTATTTTGGCATTAGGAATTTACAAATGCGTTGTTATACGGCCTACCGGCGAACTAATTTGATTGGTCGATTCCAAATTCCATTATGATTAAACAATTCACGCGCAAGAAAGTGAATACATCTTGCGATCGCAAATAACCTGCTCATGCAATGAAACTGCAGTGAACGCCTGAACGGATAATTTTATTTTAAAAAGAAAGTATGCGATTGAAGTCGCTTTATGACCTATTGTTGGCCTTGTGCTGTGGCCCCCCTTAAACTGCTTCGTGGCCCCCTTGAGGGGCCATCGGCCCCCGGTTGAGAACCACTGCCCTATGGTTTTCGGTGAAGTGATGATGATTTATCGCGCGTGTCCATTTATTTGAGCATAGCTCTCTTGTTCTGTCATAGCATTGCATCCCACGATGCTTATTTAAAAATGTATCGTATCCACGATGATAACAAAGGGAGTCATCAAAACTTGAGCTTATTGTCACGAGAATGGGCACCAAAGGGGACAAAGATGAAATGGGGTTATTCAGTTCGCAACAGTTGCAAAACAGGAAGGAATTTCTCACTTTTTGTGGGCTCTCTTTTTCGCAGTGTGATAAGGTTAGCGCAAGCGTTATTTTCTGTATAGCTGACACTTCCAGAGTCATTTTTCTTTTCGAATGCGAGCATATGACTCCACCTATCATGAATCAAAAGAAGTTACTTCCAAGTTCAGATGTTCACAGGTGCCAATATTCACATATGCAGTTACTCGTCGACAAAAATTTCGAATGTCATTATTGTGACGAGAACGGATTTTGCTCTTTTTATTGTTTCATTTGTTCATAGTATATATATTATTCCCGTGTGCATGAAGTTTGAACTTATATATTTTCTTCTGTAGTAGTATTTACTTTTATGGGCTGACTCCGAGTACCTCTGCGCACGTTATCCCGCTTTAAGATCGCCTCATTTCTTTTTAGTCTGACCGCCGTGAAGGCTGGCCGTGTTTTGGTTGCTCCCTATTAAAGTTTTTACTTGCATCATCAGACTATCTAACCTATTGTGAGGGTTCGGAGCACACGGAATCTTCTGAAGCTGGTACTAACTTGGCGATCATACTTATACAAGGAAGCCGCTCCGCTTCAGTAGCTAGTTTGTCATTACTGACTCTTGAAATATACGGAATATTAGAAAGGGTTGATGCCAAACTATGCGTCGTGTTAGTTCAACGTTGTATGTCATAATAACCTATAACCTAAGTAATGGCTTCGTTACAAATACACATTGCAAGACAATGTCACACACACATACACATTTGTCAATATTTTGATTTGATAAATATTTCAGTCATTATTTTCAACCATTTCTGGAGGAACTTTAGCAATCACAGATAAAGAAATCAGGAAAAACAAGAAGATAAAACCAAGAACAACTGGTCGTTCAACGTTGTATGGCCCCCTAAACCATTGGTAGTTTCCGCTTCTAACAAATTCGTCATCCACCCATTTCATCATAATTTGTGCTGGAGTTGGGTGCGGAGCCCAAAAGAATCGCGAAGGTGCAGGTCGAGGAGAAAACGGACCATTACCTAAAATGGTAGGCAAGATATTATTATTGACAACAGTAGTAATAAAAAAAATCAAGCGTAACGAACTGCAAAATATGTCTTGCTTGCATTGTACTAAATAACATTGTCATTATTTTGTATCATCGCCAGGTATGCTGGTTGGTTGTGTATCAGAATCCAAATTCAAAACTTTATACGGGAAAGTTAAATAAATCGATTCCCTTCATTGTTATATTACCTAAAGTTCTGAATTCCTCTAGAACACTTTTCGCTTTTTGTTCAAATCCTCGCCTTTCAGCTTCAGTGGAACAGAACTCGATATATCTTCCATCACAAGCTGTCGATGCTAATTTTCTCCAAAGAGAATAATCTCTTCTGTGTACCAAACAACGGTGAAATATGTAGTATTGGCTAGCGTTAACATTTTTAGAGATATGCCAAGAATCAGGATAAACGATTCGATAGTTTTAAGATCCAATATTACACTAAAATTTCTTCTGCAAGTCATCCTCGTTGTAGCCTAATTATAAAATAGCTGGAAAACTTTCTTTTTTCCGGTCATATAGTCCAAAAGCAATATGAAGGAACCGATAATAGGTTTGACATTAAACGTTTGACATAGAAGTCTTAAGTCTATAGTAACAATAGTATTTGGCTAATGGATTAACAAAACAAAAACCAATCACCTCGTTAGTACTCGGACCGATATTTTACCGCACAGACCCATGCTTTCCAATGTTTTTAACACCCATAGTCGTTTGTTACCATCGGTCGCCCAATATTGTTCTCCGCATTTCATCACAGTGAAAATTTCCAAGTTTTTGCCAGTTAATTCTTCGATACTTATGTCTCTGTGGAGACATCTTCTTAATAGATCAACTACGTGAAGACCAGATGACAAATGTGGCGATGTCGAAAGACGAATATACCTTGATTTTATGAATGATAACTGTCATGAGTTTCTGACCAACTTCTGAGCACAGTATATCTAATGAAAATTGAATTTGTAAGTTGGGGCAAGGAACAAACCAGATAGTTTTATATATTTGAATCATGATATTCAAAAGTGGTCATAAGTTTATTTATATATTATACTTATATATTTGGGGATAATGTACATATTACCTGAATATAAAATTTTCTTAGTTTAATTTAATAACATGTACCTGATTTCTGATGGAAGTAGACTCAAAATTAAGGGCGGCGTAGAGTGCGAGAAGTGTGGTCCATTACAGGGCGCGATGGAGGGACGCCGTCGCGTCATTTACCGTTTCTTTGAAATTCCTTATTTTTAACCATAGTTCTTTATTGCGTCATAATAAATCAACCGACAAGTTTGATAAAGTACAAGTGATCAACCATCGTTTTGTAACGCGCTAATACTGCAGAATTAAAATCAGAGAGAATAAAACAAGCATCTATTGCAGGGAAATACAAAAAAAACATCATATTATATATATATCGCAAAAAGGACATTAAATAGCATAGAACCTTTCGTCCAGTACAAGTTTAAAACTATAGATAACAGTTACAATATTACATTCGAAATCAATTCACGCATTACATTTCTATTGTTGTTCTCTGGGATTCGACTGATTCAACTATATCCATATATAATTTTGTTACGATGAATTAAACGTTAGAATTTAATTTTGCTTTGTTTGCTGAAAATTAGTACTTTGCATTTTTGCAGTGTACAAATGGTCGTGATATTGACGTCTTTTCTGAATCGTTTTCCGCACCAATCAACGTTATTGTATAAAGATTTTAAGGATATTATCGAGAATGTGGAAGGCACAGAGCAATATTTTATCTCCATAAACTGATTTAGAACAAGAGAGCTACGCACAAATATATGTACACGTTAGACCAGAGCGAATCAGTCCTTACCGGTACCTTTGACGCTACCGGTACCCTCAAAAAAGTTCTGAATTTCCAGTAGCAAGAATTTTGCAGAATCAAAACGTACAGCCAATCATGACACTGACTAAAATCCGTGTTCCCATGGATAAAAATAATACAGCAAAATTTTAGACGAAATATCAAATTTCATAGAATTCACGCAAAATTTTGAAATAAATAAAAGTAATAGCCTTCTAGCGAAAAAATTAATCTTTACCACTGAAAATTTCAAAGCAATTGGTCCAGTATTCGAAGAGAAAAGCGACTTTTTAAAAACGTGTCAAAGAACAAGAACAACAACAACAACAACATAATATTGAAACGATCGTTATGTCCACTTCGTGTCCAAAAAGATGTCAGATACATGAATTTGAAAATATCATGCGGGTTTTGTGTTTCAAGCAGTATACGCAGTATTGTCCACAGACTCTGTGACGAAGAATTTTACAACTAAGTGCTCTTGGCTCTTTAAAGTTGTAGATTTGATTCCAATTCTTTATCAACGTTATAGCAAGTATCATCTTTAATTAAATCATTTTCATGCACATCACCATCAATTTCGGAAGATGGCAAAGCTTTGTATGTCCACAGTGATGTAACGAAACATAAGACACATATACCCTGTAAAAATACAGTATTCAATCATTGAACAAATCTATAAAAAACACGAGGGGTATATTCTACTTAAAATGCTATGGACATTTATTTGTGTTCGTATTTGATTTATAGATGTTACTATGAAGCTTATAACACACAAGATTAGGTTGTAATATCATCATCATTAGTCAACAACTCAACATAACAAATATTGGAATAAATACCAGAAAAAAAGTTTTTCTCAGTATTCTATTTAGTATAATTTACCTTAAGAATTGCGCATAATATAACCATATATGTAGGCATTGCTTGATTGTCGTAAACATAACACGATCCACATTCGTCACATTTGTTTTCCCAAACAAGACATGTCATATCTATAATTTTACCAAATATGATTGGTAGTGGAATGACCCCAAGAACACGAACAATTATCCACTGAAAAAAAAAATTGCAACAATGTAACAATTATTACAGTAAATATTAAAGTTTTCATGCTATACGTAATGTAAATTAATCAGATATTGTCGAAAACAAAAATATCCATAGTTTCAAAAAGAAAACTGACATAATAAATTTTCTTACTTGAACACCCACAGAGAAAGATCTTTGGGTGAACGGAACGATTCTCATTGAAATCTGTAAATATAGGAAAACAATTAAATATAACTAAACAATTAAACAGTACGAATAGTATAAATATAGTTCTCCTATATTGTTCGCCTTTGCCGAACAACACACATTACACAGATTCTAGCCGAAGTCAAAGTTTGTTAGTTTCTTCCCGATACACTTATAAGTCTACATTCTTGTTAAATGATATATACAAACTGCAGTATCTACGTATTCTTGAAATGATTGTAGTTTTCATATACTGTATCATATTAAGACTATTGCCTATTGTATATAAGAATATTAAGCATTGTCAGCTTGTTCAATTTTACTTGCAAAATAGGCTGCATTGTGAAGAAGGTGCAGAAAACAGCGATGCCGAGAACAACTATAAACAAGGGAAGATGTTTGCATTGATTGTTTGCACATAATCCTCCCACAGCCCACTTGAAAGTATTATCTTCGGTGGTTGCTATCCTGGAGCAATTTTCAAAGTTCTGAAATCGAAATGGTGGTATAAATAAAACAGTAGCATTATCTGGTAGTGAATATTAAATTAGAACGAGGTAATCAACAGGAGACTAGCTGCTCTCCTATATACGAGGTAAACTATATTTGTATCGAAGAATTATACAGTTGTCTTAGACGATTTTTTGGCTCAAATGACACAGAAAGAGGCAAGGTTGGACAACGCCTATACATCTTATCATTAATTTAAGGATAAAATTCTCATGCGGATGCCACTTTTGCAGGTAAAAGTCTTGCTGACAACGATAGCTCAAAAGCTGGAAATAACGATACTTCGAACAAGTAACAAAACAAGTAATTTAAACATGGTGTTAAGCTGTTGATAACATGTCGGTGGATGCTATTGATGTAATCATACTAATTATATTTGAAAAAGAAATATTTTGTTTTACCGTTTCATTAATTGCAGAGCATCCTGCATGACAAAACGACAAATATGTTAGATTATCAGATCCACAAATAGGTCTGTATAAATTAGTACTACAACCACATTTTGTTTGATCGCAATTGACTTCAGTTTCCAAAGGATATGGGACAAGGACTCCGGCAACATCTGAAAAATAGATAAATAATATTGTTCCTATCAGCATATTTGTAAATATATTTCTACCATGAATTGTTTTTCTATGAGACATGTTTTGCAGATATGTAAGTCGATGCTGACTATTCAATATCTTGAAACTTTTGAAAATAATTATTCTATGTGATTTGATATGTGGACTGGCCCACAAATTTATACATTGGAAGATGTTATGATCAGGAATGTGCAATAAACAATTTTTTATTCATAATTATCTGCAAGAAAAGTTGTCAGATATGACATGGTAATGTTGTATGATAACGCACATTGCAATAAATTATTCCTGAGAACTTATTTTTAAATTTTAACTTTTAAACCCTAGCTTATTGTGAAAATAAGGACGTCGTATTCATTGAATATTATTTTGCAAATACCACACAATGAACGCCCGACACACCACGTGCGATAAGTATATATAATAAAGAAAATGGAATAAAATATGCATTTTACCTAGGTTTTGGCAACTTAGTAGAAATATAAAAAATGCTGCAAATGCAACAATTGAAGAAATGAGAGATAATTTCAACATAAGCTTCACTTTCATCTTGTATTTTGTGATCAACCAACCGCCAACAAAGTTTGACAAGCTTGCACCAACAATAGCCAAAGCCCCTGTAAATATCGAAATCATACATATATTAACAAAATTTTTCAAATATTAGTTTATGTTAGTTGCAATATGGTAACAGCAGTATGGTATGTATTTTTTGTCCTGGCTGTTAGGCGTGCAAACAAATAATAAAATTATTTGTCAATACAATTACAAACGCAATATTTGAATGTGGGCTTATATAGGAATGAACTTCAATTTTAGAATAAACTGAATATATTTGTAACCTTTCTTGGCGAAAAATAGATTTATAAGAAACATCCGATAAATAGGATATTTATTTGTACATTTTAATAAAAAGAAGAGGTCATGTCCAAATCTTGAGTGATCAGGTATGATAAGGAGAAATGTATCAAATATTTTATTAATGTCCATGTCATATTTAAAAGTTGAAATTATGGGTTTATTTGAAAGGGTGGTTTTTAGCAAACTCTCATCAGTCATCACCCACCAAAGTAGAGTCCGGCATCCGAAGCAGTTACGCCATAAATCGACTCGATATATTTGGGTCCAAATGTTGCCAATCCAACAATAAGCCCTGAATCAACCGTTGATGCAAATGATATCGCCATAAGACACGGATTCTTCAATATTACTAATAACGACCGAGGAACGTCTTTTAAACTGTATGAAAATCAATTTGTATTTTATATGAGTAATTTTTGCACATAGAATTACATCCGATTTGTTTGAATAGTTTTATGTCATACATATCATAAATTTTAGAATCGTCATTCCACGTTTGCGCTATTAAAAACTACTTGTAGTTAGAAGCAATATAACACAGCACGGCCGAAATTAGGGGGAAACAAACAATGATTTAATTGCTTGACGTGGTATGATATATAAATTTACTGCAGTTTTCTCTACGTTTTTCTTCTTAATGTAATCGTTAGGTAATATAACTAAAAATATTTGTTACAATGCATTTTAAATACAGTGCTACAGTATAAGCAACACTTAAGATGAAAGTTTTATGAAATATTCCCGCACCTTATATAATATTGGTGATCTGGCCTACATACTTAATTTTTTCGATTACATCATTTTCTAGTGGCATGATCATATGAATGAGTTAAATACGTTAAACCAGCCTACCTTTTACCAAAGTTTTCATCGCCCTTGACGCTCTCTAAAGTTTTATGCATTTCAGTTTCTCTATCTTTCCGGTATTTCTCAGTTCCGGGTATTTGCCTTGGAAACATCATAATGGGAATAGATATAGAAATATGTAGAATCCCAACAATTAAAAAACTAATCCACCAATTCCCAACCCATGCTGGGTTATTTTCTAAAATGTTTCCTCTAAATAGAAATGCGAAAAAAATTTATTAGAAAAAGTAAACTTGACAAAAACTGGAGCCGGAAGTGCTACGAATATATTGCTGTATAAATAATGAGATAGAAAATTGAACATAAAGGTCGAAAACCTAGAATTTCTTTCTTATATTACGTTAACCGCCCACTGAAAAGCTTGATATGATAGGATTGTCAAGTGTAAATTCATAACAATTTATCTCCTACGCATATTCAATATTGCTCACTAACCATAATGATCTGTAACTTCATCTCAAAATTGCATGCTATACGTGTCAAAATTCGATGGCCATACGACTTTTGCTTTTCATCTTTAGTTATGTACCCGTCAAATCAACATAATATGATTTGAACGAGCACTATTCAGGCGATAGAATATATATGATTAAGCCCTGATTCAGGTATAAAAGTTAAAGCCGATAAGAACGTTTAGCACGGACATGAGCAAACTACGGCCCGCTGGCCAAATCCGGCCCGTTGAGTAATTCAATCTGGCCCGCCTGATGCTGCCACAGACAAAATACAACCAAATTCTGTCGTTTTAGCTAAAAAATAGATCCAGAAATTTGTTGAGATTGCGATTAAATTTTGTTTTAGCACGAGGCCTATTGTTTTCCACTTTTGCTTTTGTAACACTGTGAATATTGTTCATAAAATGTAAATTTTCACTTCACACTTACATGACCCGCCAGTCTAGGTGAGCAAAATTTTTGACCCGTGATCCACCCTTGGACTTAGCACCTATAATTGCATGTAGCCAACATAGGAAGATGACTATGAGGAAACAGATACAACTATGACGTCATTTTTGATTACAAAACTGATTCTGAAGTCGCAACTAGGATTGAAATGACGTCATAGTTGTAGGACAGACTCAATTGTGACCAATTTCACTACGTGACGTGAAAAACTGTAGACTTGAATTACTCAATTCATAACTTCAACTCAAAGTACTGGACTTTGGAAATTGATAATAAACGTGGCCGCAAATTGTTGGTATTTTGAGGTAGACTATTATATTTTTATATTTTGAATGAGCGATTCGTTTGTTACTTATCGATTTTATTACTTATCGATTTTAATCGGTAAGTATGTTGATAGGTATTTGTCTATCTGTCTGTCTGTTTGTCTGTTAGATGCACGCGATATCTCACGAAAGCGAGATTGATTCTGTTCCAGATTTTGCATGTGCATTCATCTTATTTCGGACCAGAAGCCTATTAATTTTGGGCGAATTATGTCATATAATTAGTGAGTTATCAATCAAGAATTGATGAAGTGATCTAGATTTATGTAAAGCGAGAGAATTTTGAGACCCGCCGAGTGTGTGTGTGTGTGCGATGCGCAATGTGCAAGTTACAAGAGCCGATGAATCGAAACTGCAGTTTCTGTTTTGGGGGATCCCCTAACTATCGATCGATAAGTCTTCGGTTTCTAACCGATATTATCGTTTCGATTTTGATGAAACTCATGCAAGTCAACCCGCAACGGCTGCGAAGTAACGTCCGCGGCCACAACCTGGCTCGCCAAGTCATTTAGTGTGGCTCTTGTCAATACTCAGATTTTCCCCATCAAGCATAAAATTCTAATGCGTCAGTTTATTTTTAAAAGGGCGCTCACATTGTTAAAATTACATGATGTTTCTGTGCCTTTGTCGCTGTTTTAAATCTATCGCCGTTTTGCCCGTTGCCTTTATTACAGTAAGGCTAAGCGATAGATAAGGCCGCATTCTCTTGTCTTGTTAGCTGACTGATGAACATTAGTCAGTTAGATATAAGGGTTGCTACAACTTCTGTCAAAGCTGATGTTAACAAACTTTGTAGCAACTCGAAATCTCAAGAGTCCGAATAGAATTGTGCAGAATTTGAATTGCGAGAATTTTTCAACTCTTTGTATACATAGAAAAACTATTTTTTGTTGCCGGCTAGATGTCTGAAATTGGCTATATGACGTACACACTCCTGGTCTAGAGTGACAAAGGTATTTTTTTTTATCAAAAGGCACACTTGAATTCCCCCTACAAAATGTCAAACATTGATCAGTTTTCAATTCATGCAATGTAATGGTTTCAATGATTGAATGTTATCATTGTTATGAAATGAAAAAAGTATGAATCTGCAATACTTACGGATCTTTCATTGTGGTATAAATAGATAACAAGAAACCACCAATTAAAAATCCTGCTGCCGGACCGAGTGATGAACATCCAAGATAAATACCTGAATTTCAGTAATGGTAAAAAGGTTAGTAAACTATGTGACTCAAGTTGTACCCAGAAAATCGTATTTATAGAAATTTTTGGTGCTCTAGAAGTATGCGCATCAAGATGTCACACAGCCTGAATCCTAACCAGTACACACACATACTATGTTCAGGTTGTGCGCCATCTTGGTGCGCATACTTCTGGAGGTCCAAATTTTTGATATGTTTCGGGGTTTCTCAAGAATCTCTTAAAGTCTATGAGATATATAAAAAGCATCGTCTAATTAATATGAATTTGCCTCAAAAATAGTCATTGCATTTTTGTGACAAAGCTTTGAGGCAATGATTACACAATGTCCTTTGCTTGCGTAGCAGTTGAAAACATCATTTGTAATTATCCGAATATATCTTTGCACTTCATATTAGTGATAATATATATTTTGTATCGTATATTGCAGTCAATAGTATACTTACCATTGAACGTCGAAGACAGATTTTGTTTAACGTTTTCGTCGAGGTATGTAAAGGCTATTGTATATAAAGGACATGCTCCGATTCCAACCAATATAAATCCAACAAAGAAGAAACCTCTAGGAAAAGTTAATTTTTGTTATTGTAATGAACTAAAACGCGTTTGTTAATTTTTAATAGAAAATGCGTAGTAGAAGATTCGAATGACAGCAATAAAACCAGTGAAAGTCGTGACAATAAACGATCAATTACAAAAACAAAGAGTAAAGTGTGGAAACGCAAATGTGAGCAGGCCCGAACACATCAGTGTTCACAATAGTTTCGACGTGATTTTATTTTTACAATTTCGCGTGTATCATGTCGTAACATAGTCATATATGGTCAGGCATTTTTTAGTAACATTTGCAACTCTAACGGACTTCAATTCCGCTATACACTCCTATCGACTAATTTCATAATTTCGTAAAATGTACGTTTAATTAACATTAATGCAGTTATTGAAGTCTGTTCATTAAAATCACGAGTTAGCAACTCAATTCGTTCAATGGTCTTTCAAATCGCTTGATGTCCTGCCTAGCCATTTATTAAATATTGCAGTCACGTTTTGTTCGCTCAAGTCATTTCCTAATAAATTCGGACATTAGTTTAGGTCTAGTCAACCTATGCTCAATCGGTTAACTTTTTTCCTCGATCCGTGAATACGATTTGGATGTCAACGAATATTTTGCCGATAAATCCGGTGCAAAAAAAACAGTATATTCGTTATAATATTGAAAATCAAGACATTTAATTTCTATTTTGTGCAGTATTTCCTAACTACATACACCATACATGATAGTGCATTTTCGAATGCAAAGTACAATGAAATGTGATTTTTAAATGCAATGAGGTGCATCAAACGATTTAAGCGTATATATTGCGATGCAATATGCACATATTAAAATTAACCAGAATTACATCACTAAATGCAAGAAGACTTCATAAAATTGACTGATAGAGAATTTACGATCAAATAATCAGTTGCAAATGGATGTTTTAATATTATTTTGACAATTAAATCACAATCTGCGGAAAGTAGGCTACGCTAGATAGAAAAGCTTTACTTGAAAAATATCAATGTCCAAGCAGTCTTTTGTTTTTCAACGTATATCGAGTTCGCATTGAATCTATTTTCAATACGACTCAAATTTAAGATATTCTCATAACAGCATCAATATTAAGAGCGATTACACAACATCAATGCTCAAAATATGAAACGTAGGGCAAGATTTATGCTCATTAACTTGTTCAATAATCAAATCTACCAGATTTACCTGTATGATCTCAATCCCGTATCTTCACAGAGCAAGGTTGAATTGCAGTTGAACGTTTCAACATTAACTGGTTCATACTCTGGAGCGATAAAATGGGGTAACGAGAACAAAATCGAACCCAGTCCCATTATAAAAACACCAGCACCTAACCAATGGGGTTTATGTCTTGCGCCCCCAATATATGACACAATAGGAGTGGCGATTGCACCGGCGATGTCCAGAACACTTGTGATGAGTCCACTTTCCCAGCTTCTTAGACCAAACCTTAGATGTGATAAAACTAATTTTAAATATCGGTTTCTCATATTTATGTGGAAATGTTCCATCGATGATCAATATTGACAATGTATTAGCACATTGCAGATCGTTCGGATCACCACAGGGCAGTCATACGCATGGCAAACTCGAAAAAACTGTAGAAATCCCAAAAACTCTGGTTTCTGACATCAACACTATACAAACTCTAATCAAATATTTATTATCGGTTCTTACCTATTGGTTTAATTAAAGTATGTTTAATTGAACAATAACTGTCTCATGCACAAATTTCGTGCACCCAGTTGCCGACGATGTCTACCGCTTAAATATTATGGCGACCATGTTTATATGCGTTGATTCGGAAAGTATGGGAGAACAGATGAAAGTGGGAAATTTCTGCCATTTGTCAGTTAAGGCACGCCAGTTTTTAGTTTTCTCAACAAAATAATTTAGCCATAAATTTTCCTTATGTGCCACGATGACCAAGGATAAACGTTCAGCAAAAATAAGCAGTAACAGGACAACCAAGATATAATTTTACTGGCATCAATAAATTAAAAATCTTATATTAAATAGTCGAGTGTCTTCTCAAACTTTCTGAGAAAGTCGCTTTACAATCATTTACCTTTCTTACCTTTTCTCGATTGTGGTTACGCTAATGTTGTAGAATCCGTTGACTACACTTCCTTCAAGAAAAGCGGCAAAACTCAGAATGACCAATGCCAATTTCACAAGATCTGGAGAGTTGAATATATTTTTTTCTTTCCTGAAAAGCATTGGACACATAATCAATTTGGGGGATTCGACTACAGTTCCTTATATATCTATATTGATTGTTCGTTAGTATTTTAGTTTGGATGGTCGCATTATTTTATATTTATTATTACGCACCATCATCGACAGTCAAAATTTTCAAAAACGAATATTACTTGATAATTTTTCTTATGTGTTTCGTGGCAGTAAATTCTTAAATTTATATAGTCGGCCATGCGTAAACAATATGATAAAATTTTGATTTTAAATGGAACAATCTTAATTCTGTATGCGTTGTTATCGGATTATGTAGTATTGTAGTTTGGTGTTTGTTACCAGACTTTTCGCGCGCTGAATTCTCACTTATGAGCGATGTTTAAAAACAAAATACCTGATAAAAGTATCGTCAATTTGTCAAGTTAATAATGATGATCGTTATATAGTTGAATATAAAATTAAATCGTTATCTGACTACTACTTCCTGATTCGTAATTTCCAACGTTGGCTTTGTAGGGAAAGTCAAGTAGTAACGAACGGAGAAATACAATGATTTAACTTTCATATATAATTTTAGGTACAAGTATTCAGACTATATAAAAGTTTATAGACTTTTTACACCACAATATGATAACATTACACGGTCAACACGAAATACAGTGCTATTAGAATACTCTTCACTTTTTCACATTTCCGGTATGTCTTTTGTTGGTATGTATGCGTCAACATTGCATCTAAACTGGCAGAAAGCTGCAATATGTGTATTGCATGGAAAAACTCCAACGTTCATACCGAAATTTTTACATACAATCATTTGTTTGTAGTGAATTGAGAACCCCGCAATCACATTATTTAAAATGTTCAAGCCATCTATAAATGATATAGCATGGCTGGTTTTGTCCACTTTAAGGTATTGACACAACTGTATACCATTTTAGGAGTTCGATTGATATCGTCATATAGTTCTAATGCTTTAAAATTTATCTAGAATTGAAAATGTAATATATGTTAAATTACTTATTTTGATCTTCAGTGTTCGCGGACGTTTTGCTGTCAATATCAATCTCTTCAATTTTGATTTCTTCCTTTGAACAGTCATTGCTAGATCGTTTATTTTCTTGCTTTGAATCCATTGTTAATTATAAAGCATGTTATATTATAATAGAGCTATAAAAATATAAAACCTAACATTTTACCAAAATAATTTAATTACAAATTACATTGTAAAGAATCAATCTCCGCAGATCAAAATATTGTGATTTAAAAATCACTCAATACTCGATACAATCGCTCCAGAATGTTGTTCAATTTTTTCAATAAAATTGTACCCGAAACCAGACAAAGATGGGACACACCCGATGCCTCGAGTCCTATTCTATTTAATTGGTCAATTTCCTAAGTAATATCCTCCGCTTTGCGCGTCACCAAGTAATGAACAAACTCACGAATTTTTTATCTTTTATCAACCAACGTCATTCATGCTCATTCACAATTATTTTTTGACTGATTTCTAATGACATTACTCATACTATGTCAAGAACAAAGTTGTGGGAAACCCACTAAAACGCGAAACGTCGAATGATGGTCCCGTTAAACCATTGCTTTATGATACGCAGGCGTGGAATGGATCTATTTACTTTGCACTGGATTGAAAGATAATATTCACGTTTAACGGAGATAGTGTTTTGCCTGCTATAATAACAAAAGGTAAGAACTTGAACAGCCTGTCACTTACTTTTTTGAGGCCATTTGTATTGTTGTAAGATTGTCATTTATCAGCTAAAATTAAGTGTTAGTTGCAAAATTATTTTTAAAAAAAAAAAAGTACCTCGGTAACATTTCGAGACATATTTTTGAAATCCACTTTTAAAAATGATTGCGATTTTGAATTGCAATTAATTTTACTTTTATTTTTTGTTTTGGAAAATTACTTTCTTTGCAATCTGAAATCTTATATATAGATATATACTATATGTATGTATTCCAATTCACCTACGTTTGAATGAGAAGATAAATTAAATATTATAAGATGAAAACTCGAAAAACCAATCTAAGAAATGTGTAATATGTGAGACGAATGTCTTTTCGCAAGACTTATCTCATTGATAGTACAACAAACTTATTTTCGCGCCTAATTCCCGCTTCTTTTTGCTGGGAACTCCGGCAAGGACGAACCCATTTATATAGCTCGTTGTTCTATGACTAAAATTATTATTTAAATAATATTTCGTGACCCGGCTTCGAGCAAACTTGCATACAAATTGCAAAATTATTACAAATAATACTACAAATATAGATAATTTTTAGGATAAAATAATAGATAAAGCATACCTGTTTCAGTTGGGCAGGGGTCGGCAACCTACGGCCCACGGGCCGGATCCGGCTCGCGGAGTAATACGATCCGGCTCGCGACGATTCACTGAATTATAGCAACAAAACAGCTGTTTTGACGGTTATTTTCTTCAAGTAACAGAATTTATTGTGAGACACGTGTAGGCTGAATTATATTATAACCTAACAAGTATATACCGGTAATTTCCAATTACTCGTTTAATGAGCCTATAATTTAATTATAATTAGACAAATGGGAACAAAACGCAGAAAAGTTGATGCTAAGTGCAAAGAGTTCCGAAAATATCCAAATGGAAATCCACGCTAGCAGTTATCACGAAAATATCCAAATTTTTGAGATGCGATGCAATGAGGAAATAAATCTATATTCCATTCGAGAGATGTATCACTGTTTGATTTTTATTATAAAAAGTAGCATCCGTCGATTTTTAACTTTCTAAAAATATGTGCGGCCCGCCAATGACTTGCAACCCTTAATTTTGGCTCGTGAGCGACAAAAGGTTGCCGACCCTTGATGTTAGTGAAATAGTTATCCACGTGCATGAACAAGACCAATTTGGAAATTTTTACAATTCAAATTTCACTGATAAACTGTTTGTTGGTCCATCACATAACATCGGGACACAATAAATATCTGCAAAGTTTTTAAAAATCTGAACAATTTTTTCCTATGATGGAATCAGTACCGTCTCCCAAATAGCGATCAGCGCTCGATTATACTAATCGTATCATGCCATTTAATCATCGCACTCAACCCATAGTCTCAATTAACCGTAAATGCGGTGAAAACTATTCCAATCTGGCGACTTGTTTATAATAAACGTTCATAATTTAAGATCTATTTGACTCGGAATACACTCATCGTACCATTAAGACAATAGCTGTATTGGCAGAAGTAGATTACGGTGGCTGATATACATATCACAAATGCAAATTAGCTAAAAATTCTAATTCATTGTAAAGTATTAGTCATGTATAGATTTTATATCATTCTTTTGTCGTTTGCCTTGATAATTAGGATTATAATCATAGACTAACTTCATAACGTGACTATCACATAAATTAGTTATTCATGTATGTTAACCGGAAACTAAATTGCTGCTCTTATACTGGGCCTGATATGGCGTATAGAATGGTTAGTACAGTTCTTCCAGCAATTTACTACATATTCACTACATCGCACCATCATTTACATTTATCATGCAGGTATGAGTCAACTGTATGTAAAAGCACTGTAGTCCGAGATTAAATATGCTTAAAATTTCCGTAACGCCTGTCTGTATATACTGTATATATCCTTTTCGAAGCTTGATATCTTTACGGTAATTGTTTTCTTGCTCGATAACCTTAAAATGGATCAACATTTTCTATTGCATCGAAATATAAAAGCACCGAGAAAGACAATGCAAAAAACAACTCTGGAAATTTTCAAATTTCATCGTAAATCGTAGCACCAACAACTCAAATGGCCATACATCTTCCTGTATTAACTAATGTCTGCACGTTATACCTCTACTTAACTGAATATGATTACTTTTCACATATCTTATGCTTGACGCTGATTCACTATCAGTCGAATCTACTATGCTTATGCTGTGTCTAAATATTTGTATATATATACAGTAAAACGTATTCAAAATTAATATTTTCAAACTCTTGAGTAATGCAAGGCTCAATTTTGATTTATCTGACAAAAGTTTTAGAGAATTGAAATTTGAGGACTGGATTGCAAAAAATAACACAACGTAAAGTACAAGTAAAGTTTGCGATACTACGCCTACCTACCGAGTCATAATTTAATCGTAAAATGGTCCGTGACACAATTTCTATTTTCAAATATAATGACGCGCAGTTATAAAATTTGTGATATAAATTTGAAGATTTTTTTTGAATAGGCCTGAATCACGGTGAATCTTGAGACTGAATTAGTATATCCTCCATTGCATTCAAGATGAAATATAATTTGTAAGTTATAAGCTGACAATAGTGATGCTAGTATCCTTGTAACAACCCTACTGTAAAAAGAATATTGAAAGAATTTTCGAAACTTGATGATTTCCAAAACATAAGCTCATACATACCGTGAGCTTTTAGATTCATAAAGGTTGAAAAAGAGAAATATCCATCTATATTCTATTTGAACGTTACAATAACGAAGTTGTAAATTATGAATATCAGTTTTGCTATGGGCTGGTCAGCTACTTTCAATACAAGCGTTTAAGATATTTTTATTATTTAACAGAGATGAGGTTTTGCTATAGTACATTGGTGCGACTCGGCACGCCGCCAATAAGTACGTCATTACTCGGAAAATATTAAAGTGAGATACCATTTAACATAGGAGGAATATACTGTTCGAGGAAGTAAAAATGAATGAATAGGAGGATGACATATTACAAGCGAGTAAAATTTAGAAATATCTACCAAGCTATGTGTAGCTGGACCTAATATGTGGCCATTGGGAATTCTTATTGTTCATTTCTACCGTGTAATGGACAACACTGGACTAGTTGTTTATATTGATATTAACTTCCATACCCCGTATTTATAATTATGCATTTATATGAGAAACTAAAAACAGGTTCTCGCGCTGTTGAGATATAAGAAAGCATGTGACCAGGTTGGCATTTATCTCAATATTGAAGATATTGCACAATGTCCTTATTGAGGTGGGCGGTATAAATCACTCTGACACGACACTATTTGACTAATGTTTATAACATTTTAACCAATTATCAAAATTGTTAGTCACACATGCAAAGACTTGCTAAATATCAATCTGCTAAAACGAATTATGTATTTAATGCAATTCACTTATCCTCACCCACCTGGAAAAACAATCCGAGAATAGGGAAGTTATAGAATTTCATGCCTGCTATATTATATTGAGGAATGAGCATGTGGCCGCGATTGCCATTTCAACTCATTAAAAAAAAAGAAATTCCGAGGAGGTGTTGGGTCGCTCACAAGACGGACTTATTTAAGTTGCATATCGTCACGCTAATAACCGAATTGCGTACGTCATTTTAGGCGATTTTAGGTTTTTATAAAATAGGTATTTATGTAATGCTGCGCACCTGTCTGTTAACTCATATTTTATTTTAAGAATTCCGAAACCAATAAAATTGGAGATTTAGTATGACATGCACATTTGCGCAATTGTTTCGTCATAATGAATTATCATTGTCACCGCTGGACTATTGTGATGTCACAAATGCAAAATAACCTCGGCGAAGTATTTTTGAGGGGGTGTTCTGATTATTTTTTTTTTGCCAAGTTAGATCGAAACTGCTAGCGTGTCCGATCGAACGCTGGAATACGGGTGTTTTTAGTAGCGTTTCAAGCTACGGAAAATTGCTATATATGATACAAATTAACTTAAATCCGGCTACGATCAAAAAATTGAACCATGGCAAATTATTGACTCTCAATGGCATAACAATATCATTAGGAATTTTTTTACGTTTTTTTCAAAACTGCTAAAAATGACTTACGCAATTCGGTTATTGACGTGACGATATTAAGTTGCATATTAAACTCGTACTTTTCTAATGACTATCTGGCTGAATTAAACAAATGTGCTTCGATGTAGCCAGGTTTGCTTTGAAACTGAGTGATATTCTTTTATTTACCAACGGATGTTCTTTCAATAGATGGCCACTTGACTGTCATATACGTACCAGATTTTATACCATCGCAATATATGCTACTTCTGATATATTTTCAATATCTGCTGTTATCTGTTTGTTCTGTACTACAAACAACTTGGTAAACTGAAGTCACTCATTCGATAAAATTCTTGCCTTGGATTGACAGTATTCTATCTCGATATCGGTAGTACTTTGGTTGTGCTCTCCGTATGAGTGGGTACTTAGGCTGTATTAGGTATTCATTCTGAAAACAACCTCAAATATGGACTATCTTGTCTAGCTGTCACTTGAATCAGCTTTAGTTGGAACATGTTAATATTCATACTCCCACAGGGCCACAACCATTCGAAGATGACATCAACGAATGACAAAGAATCACAACATGAGAAACTAATTAAATTTTGTCACAGCATTTTATTACAATGAGTCAAGTCCAAAAAGTCGGCCATTTCAACTGTCTACGGTCTGCTTCCGCGAACGCAAGATAAAATTCATTCAAATAGTATTGAATTAGTTAATTATTAAACTAACAGGATCTTGCATCTTAATTTAACGCATTTCGAAATGCAACCTTTGCCGCATTAGATTCCAGTCATTGTAGCAATTTCACGGAAAAACGATATGTCATTCATATCAATATACACACATGTATATAAATCAATTTGTGTATTGTTAGTTTTGAGTAATATTACGTCAAAAAGGGATTTTGATTGATATGCTGACCTGAACACACAGCCGTTTTCTAATGCATGAACTCTAAAATCAAAACATATGTCAGATTATGAGCAGCTTGGAGATGAGTTCGTGACACAGAATTACTAAAATTGAAAGCTGGTGGTTGTATGAATGACACAATTTATTATCGGCCTGATATTTTGTATTTGTTAAATGTGAATATAGATATAATGTACGCCAATGGGAGATAACATAAATTTAAAAAAGCAACGCTGACACTTGTAAGCAATTCACTGTTTTTATTTTGTCAAAGTCACTCAAATTAATATATAAAGCACAACGTTCAAACCGGATTTCATGTTTAACTCTTTGAACTCTGACGGCTCTGAGCGAAGTTACTCGCTCACCCTGAAGGTTCGCGGCGCCGTATTGGTAGAACAATAAAATAAGTCTAAATACTGGCTATTTGGCACGCTTGTAACTTTTTACCAATTATAGGTAGCACGTTGTGAGACATTTCAATCGAAAGGAAATTTTATCGTGCATTCAGAATGTATTTTCCATTTTGAAATACATTTTGTCAAAATTAATAAAATTGACCCTAATCTAACAGTCATTTTTCTGCATGTATGTGAGTTTTGGCTTTAAATTTTGTTAGTTTGGTACAAAATATACTGCCAATATTTGATGTTCATAAAGAGTTTTTTATAAGCTTTTTGTTGATATTCGAATTACTATTGTGGCTGCCATATAACCAATTTTATATTTAAATATTTAATTGTGTATCATTGTGTCGGGTGAACAACATCGATAAGCGGCCATGACGCACTGATTACGCAGCTACGCAAAAGCCGATCACGTGACTACCGTCATGAAGATGTTGATAAGTACGTTCGAAACGTATTGCGTGGCAAAATGCGCAAGATAACTTTCACGACGACGTTCTCAGCGGAACATCGGTCGCCGAGTTTCGATATGATATTAACCCTGTATGGATTGAAGTACCGACGTCGAGTACTGCGTGCAGTAATAGCGAAGTGAAGTTAATATCGTCATATAAAATTTCACGTGGAAAATGTTTTATTCGCCCATGAGTATTTGTTCAAATATCAACCAAAATAAGTACTTGCCTGCTCTGCAGATCAAAATATCTGATTTTACGAATGTTAGGCGAAGCAAGTGGATGGATCAATATCTGAGAGAACTAATAATGCAGAAAGAGCAACTCTTATTCCAACAAGATCATATGCGTCGCCAGAACTAGATACCCTACCGCAAAACGCCAGTTCTAATAATAGATGCGTCGTATGCAGCAAAATTTACATTATTGCCAAAAAACCAATCCAGCTGCTAAAGACAAAGCGTTGCTGAAACGATGCGAGACAGTATATAAGTACAAATATTGTAATGAGTACCTATGTATAGGTAACGAAACCAACAACCATTGGTATAACTGGCACAACAAAGTGCAATATTGGATTTAGTCTGCCTAATATTTTCATGTTCTTTATTGTTCCGGGCACAACGAAGTGCAATATTCAATTTAAAATTTTTAGCAAGCAGTCTTTTATGTACATACATTTTTCATGGTCTTTATTGTTCCGTTATCCGCTAATAAAATCACAATCTTGTTCATATTGCGTATACGTAACCACAACTTAATGGGGCTTGAGCGGGCAGTCAAAGTCAAATCGTAGTGCGAATTTTGAATGCGTAGCATCGGGTTAATTAATTACTTCCTGCGGACATTTAAATAATAACATCTCGACGTAACGTTATTGCGGATATCGTCACGTTTAGTTGCATTTGCGTAATATGCGTAAAGTTGTGCGTGACGAGACGTTGCCTCTCTTCAATGAGAACATCAATTTGACGCAGCGTCGCTGTTAAATCTACAGATAATCTAATATATTTGGTCATAAAATTTGAATGGCTCATCGTAAAATCGTTTTGGATACGTATATAGAAAGCTATTCAAATTCTCCACATATATTGTCGATTGAATATGTGGCTATTTAGGCAAGAAATCGAAATTCTTTATATTAAATATTTGTTATCATACAATAATTTCATACGCACTTTCAAATTGCCAATTTTACTGAAACATCGTATATTAGAGCACCGATCATCACAATATAATTAGTCCCAATAACAAGCTTTCATGCAATATAAAATTTATTTAAATACTCATTGTGGTTCTTGAGATACGAGATCATAAAGTTGATTCCCTCCGACACGAAAAACAAGCCGGTAAACCGGCTTGCCGGGGCACAGAGCGTACTCAAACAAGCCGGTAAACCGGCTTGCCGGGTTCAAGCGGTTAATATTAAATATAGCAGGGCGGATCGTTGATATTTCTATCAACCATGTATCAGTGAGTAAAACAATATGTGAGCTTTGATGACGCAAAACCACATCTTTCAATATGTCCTCCCATCTTTTAATAATTATTTATAGAAATGATTTCTTACAAACATAAGCTTGACTATTTGGTTAAAAAAAGAAGGCATTCTTCTCTACTTTTAAATCGCGCTAGGTTTGACGTAAAATATCAAATTTGAAAATATTTGTGTCTGTTGAAATGAGGTTCCTATGACAAAAGAATTATATAACAGGATTCAAAATTTGGTTCATATGAATTGTTCTTTCAGGTTCATTTATTTCTTCATTGTCCATCAATAAATAAGATTGATTTTCTGTTGGAGGATTGTACGAAAAATAAACTGCTATTAAGAGGCAGATGTTGACACCCTGAACATAAAAATTAAAAGCATTTCAATTCACGACTACTAGACTTCTTATAGAGGAATCTATTTTCATGATAATTCGTTATAAACTGCTTTTATACACACGGACAGAATAAAAATAGAACAATGAGTTAAAAGATGGTTCTGTTAACTGTGAAAAATAATTTCGATTTCAAAAGAACTTGAGTATAATAAGCATGGTGGAATATACAATATAGCACGAAAGGAACTAGTTGAATCATGGCCATGCTTATACTCAACAATCATAGACTTTGTGCAGTGCATTTCAGTAATTTGTTTACCGTGTAGTTTTGCCTACTGAATTTAGGAATTGGGATGAATCAAATTTGAAATACGACACGATGTTTGCGCCAACTAGCGAATTCCCTTTCAACAGTGAAATTTGAATTGGTCAGGTAAGTAGGTAAATTTCAAAAATTTTCGGACGAGCGGTTAAATTATGTTAGAAGTTCTCGACAACTAATAAACCCTTTTAGATTTAAAACTGTAAAATTCTGAGGTATTTTTAGTCTCCAATACATCCACTTACTTTTAAAGATAAATTGAGCAACGAAATATAGGTAGACATGGTATGGTTATCATATATATGACATGATCCGCACTCTCCACACACAACGCCCCACATTATGCATGATATATCAAGAACTTTTCCGTATATAATTGGCATTGGTGTACTACCAACAAGACGAATAATTAGCCACTGAAAGATAAAGAATAGGTGTTAAAACTAATCAAAGAGCATTTAAATATATGGGAAAAGAGACAAGAGAGTGATTATGACTGTTATTTTATCCTTTCATATTCCCTATCTTTGATTAGTTTGTCAGCCTGTCTTGAATAATTTCAATGGCTTGACACGATCAGAAGCGATTTCGATTCAGCGAGTTGCGAGCATAGGTTTAAATATTGAATGACCAAAACAAATACTTACCTGAACACCGAGTGTTATGGTTCGTTGTGAAAATGGTACGATTCTGATGGAACTCTGAAATTAACAACCAAGCTGTTAGTGGTTACTACTTACTAGCAATAGCCCACTGTAAATGCGGATATCATAGGTCAGTATATAATCTTGTCGTTTATATTTTAGCAAATTATTAAGGGCATTATACGTTCCCGTAACTTTGTTGAGCATATCTGCGGAATTTTGTGTAAACTATTAATTGACTTTTAAGGCTTGGTTTAGTATTTGTGCAGAAACTATTACTGAAAACACGTGGTTGTATATGAGATCACCACTTTAGGCGCTGTGATACAAAAGATAAAGTCTGAATTATACTTTCCTAATACAGATAATTGAATGACATTAGCAACCAAGAACTATTAGTTTATATTGAGAAATATATGTGTGGTTCATATTACTAAGCCATAGATGAAATCGGCGTTTGGTTCTCAAACGGCAATCCAGCCTGAAATCTAGATGAGATAGATTACTATCGGGTGATTGTTAGTTGTTAGTTGGTATTGTTTTTAAACGTTTACCTGTAGCGTAGTTTGCCCTTTCATAAAAGTGAAGAAAACTGCAAGTCCCATAAAGACCAAAGATATATTAAATTTATCACAAGTGTTATGCTGGCACGGTCCCATTTGTGCCGTAAACATATTTAAATCGGGAGATGTTTCAGTAACTTTTGAGATATTTCGCATCTTCGTGCAATTTGTGAAGTTCTGAAAAGACGAGAGGATAATATCAAACTAAATTGGCACATGAATGAATCTGCGCACTCTGGAGTGCTACGCCGGGAGTGTGGCCCGCGGGCCAAATACGGACCACAAGCAAAAAATTGTGCGGCCCACGGAGAAGTGCCAATTTTGAAGGGTGTGCCCTTGAAACAAATTTTCTATATAGTTTAATCTAGTATGTGCGAATAATTCCAATGCCTTTGTGCTGCAAGTGCTTGTGCAAAGCCAACAACGCATGTCATAAGATCAAAAAACAAAATTTTTGGGCCTGCAACTACTAGCAAACCTATGATAAATAAAGGTGCGGCCCGCAGTTTCAACCAGTTATCTGGATCTGGCGCTCCTGTATTGAAGGTGGCACACCCCTGTGCTACGCTATACGAGTCGCTAGTCTGCACACAAATTGGCAGAATAATCGTGAAAGCCAAATGTCTTCAATTCTGCTGCCTAAATTGTATCGATTCACTTTCTCAGGCAGCTGAATGTGCTTGAAAGGAATATTTAACACAACAAGCACCAAAATCTTTTTCCATGACTCTATGGCTGCGGGTTCAAATGGTATTGTTAAAAACCAAAAATCGCCAGCATGCATTTTTCTGTGATATTGTGTGTATTTCAGTAAATAATATTGGAAAAATTATTTTAAACCACTTTCCCTGCTGCTTTGAAACGGTTTTATTTTAAGCTAAGTAAGACACATAGTCGTTCGTACTCGAGTGTTATCCACTCGGGAGCTCAACATTTCCGTTGTGCGGTAATGGAAAATTTGACATACCTTTGTATCTACGACCGTACAACCCGCATCGCAGTGTGACAAATACGTTAAGTTATCATATCCACAGACAGGTCTGTATAACTGGGTGCTACCTCCACATTCCGTCTGCTTACATTCGACGCTCAATTCCCCGGGATATGGAACTGTTACCCCGGCGACGTCTGGAAGATAGCAAAAATATGATTGAAAGTGGAGTTCGGAGTCTCGTAACAAAAGTCTTCATCATAAATTAATTGATAGTGCGCAAACTGCAAATAACATCACAAACGGTAAGAGTTAGCTTGTGGAACCAATGCTATTCATATCTCATTTTAACATGAAACTATTGACTACTGTTTTGTACCGCGACAAGTTATATGACTTTGTGAGTTAGTCACTAGATCATTTTTATAGTATATTTTTTTACGTACCTGTGTTGTCGCAGCGATATAAAAATATGAACAGGCACGCGAAAGCTGTTATTGCACAAACAACACTCATTCTCAACATTTGTTTCACAGATAACTTCAGTTTACTGATGAGACATCCACTGATAACATGTGCTGAACTTGCAGTCGTGATTGCTAAAACGCCTGAACATTAACGAAAGACAAAATATGAGGTCAAAGTTGATGGTATATACAAATCGACGAGAAAAGCAAGGAATTTATATCTTCCAATAATGCCCAGTACTCTTGATGTTTGGAAATTGAGTGTAAAGGAGACAAAGAATTTTGTCATCAGCAAACTACAGTAGTACCGTGTCGAAATATTTCACTATTATGAAATACACGACCATCCACCGTAATCAGTGTTTGCATAAGCAGTCGTAACCTATGGCAATGAGGTGGAAACATGGCATAATTATATATTATTATGATCAGGAAATCATACCTTCCTGTGTAGTCTATTATAACATCAATAGTAGTGGCTTACCAAAATAAAACGCAGCTGTAGATGCTGATATATTAAACATTGACTCGATATATTTCGGACCAAACGTTGCAATACCAATTATCATTCCCGAGTCCAATGCATTTGCGAAAGAAATTAACATTAAGGTGGAATTTTTTAACAATGACAAAAGACTTTTTGGGATATCTTTGAGGCTGAAATGAACGTATACGTTTAGTGTTATTATTTGTACTATTTATCACACTGGATACAAAATTGAAGGAACATACACTAAAATGTTTTTGATCCACAAACACGCATTGATATACGTGTGCAGCGTGAGCTTCTTTCAGCTGAAATAATATAAACGAAATTACGAGGTAAAAACTATAATGATATACTGTCGCACGCAGTATTTTATTATAGGCTATGCGGTAAACGGACGAGGTCCAAGTATATGCGATTATTCACACAATTGCTTGACTACATCAAATATATATTTGTCAGGAAAAGATTGGCAACAAAGCATTATAGGACGTATATTTTACTATAATCGTAAGGCTTGATTTCATTCTAAACACTTGACCGATTGACCTTATTTTTTTTACAACATATATGATAATATTAATATATACATGCTATATTTCTGTGAGTGTTAGGATCTAGTAATAGATTACCCAATTGTTAGACTAATTACTTATTTTTACTGTATTCTAATACAATATATAACTTTTAAAATGGATACCTTTTACCAAAATTACTATCGTTCTTGATTTTTAATGCATCGTTATGTTGATGCATTTCGTTTTCCCTATCAACTCGAACTTTATCTGAACCAGGCATTCTTTCGGGAAACAGGAAGATTGGAATACAGAGGATAAAATACAAGATGCCAACAACTAAAAACCCAAGCCACCAGTTTCCGATCCACGATGAACTTTCTGGTGAGACGCCAACGCTGAAAAAAGTTTCAATCTGTTTTCAATAAGTGCAAAAAGTAATTTCGTACAGAGGCAAAAGTATATGTACATGGATAAATTTTATTTTACTTGTTAAGTATTCCAATACGAACGATGGAGACAAATATGAATGTCGGGGTCTGCAAGTGGGAAAACATAAAAATTAATTTCACTTCACAAGGTGTGGTTTAAAACGCTGAATAGCGTTCTATTGGTTTAAAACGCTAAATAGCGTTCTCTAATACCAGTAACAATATTAAAATCATTAAAAGCCTAAAACTAAACTGCAACCAAAATGAACTACCGGTGTATTCCGAATTGTATCCAATATGATAACGACAGAAAAGCCTTCATACGCACGACACTATTCTTAGTGCTACTTGACACAAGATTCTGTCTCAGGACGCATCCAGTCACATATTATTATCCTCGCCATCAATCTTAGATCGGTATTATGACATACTGTATATTATTTTCTTGGATATTACTATCGAGTCATATTTTAGGTAAAATACAATCGCACAATAGCTTTTTTTAATTTTAAATGTGTGAAATATATACATGAAACACTTACGGATTTTCTAATGTAGTAAAGTGTGTGAGCAAATATCCTCCTACAATATATCCGATACCTGGTCCCAAGAGAGATGATGCATAAAATATACCTAAAATAAATACATAATTAAAGGTATCAAAAACTATTTTCAATAGAATTCATTAAAATTAAAACTTAATATCGAACTTTGTCCTTGACTTTGTGACAAAGTAACCGAAACACGAATACCACAGGGATCAACGGAAATAGCGCTCAGTTCTAACTTATTCGCTGCAGTTTTTTAGGCTGGGTGACCAAAATTGCACCATTCTTGTTTGCGCCAGTCGACTTTAGATCTCGCGTTAACGAATATCTATAATCTCCGTAGCACATAAAATGCAAAACGTCTGGAGCCCTATTTGATTGTAATGTATCTAAAGGTTACATATTATGTAAGTATATAACGCAGTGAGGCAATTTATCAAATCTTTCCCATAAAGTGTTATCAAGTTGCATAGAAAATTTGCCATTGAAATCATTTGCCTCAATAGGAAATTTTATGTGATATGTTACAGTGGGTTATTTATAATCAACTAACAAATCATGTGGTGAACATTAATGTTTAGAAAGGACATATTCAAAGTTAGAAACTGCCTAGGTAAACAAACCGTGATATGTAGATGAATGGACTTGTTCAACATTTTCATCCAGATATGACAACGCGAGTGTATATAATGGGGTTGATCCTATTCCCATTAACATCTGTCCAACAATAAAATATCCCCTGTAAGTAAAAAAAAATGATTTTATTACTCATTCATTTTTTTCCAGTCTGAATATATCGTATTGCTTGTTGCGCGTTTTTATGAATTAAATGTTAATCTCGATTCTACAGCGCACTTTTATTCAAAGAAACGGAAAAACGAACGCGGATGAGCGCAATGCGCTTTGTATAACCTACATTGTTCTTCATCCTTTGCGTGTGTTATACAATAGCAGGAGAATTAAATTTGAAATGTATTATTATCATATGGCTACCCGTACTGAACTTAATTCAAACACAAACGACGAAAATAAACAATTTAAAATAATATTATTGTAATCGAAAGCCGGATTCAGAGGCTTTTTGATTATGGATAAATTGAGAGCTAATGCTCTGTTTCTCATAAATATCCTACAGTTTACGAGTCACAAGTACTTACCTGTATACACGCATACTCAAATTTCCACACGTTGGTTGAGTAGCGCAGTCTATTGCTGTCACTCCTTCAATTGAGTATGTTGATGCAAGAAAATGAGGTAAGCTGAAAATCAACGAACCTAGACCCATAATAAATATTCCGCTTCCAATCCACGTGGGCTTATGACCGGATCCACCAATATAACTGAATACTGGTAAAGCCAGACATCCTGCAATTTCGTAAGCACTTGATAAAAACCCGGTTTCAGAACTTCTCAATGCGAATCTATAATGTATTAAAAAATCGAATATTGAAAAATGAACTGACCGATATATAAAAGGTGTGATATTAAAGAGAGTTGGCCGGCCATGGCTGGTTTACATCACACATGCTTTGATTCAGGTTGAACAACGATGTTCCCGGTCAAATTGAGCAATCAAATCATTATTCAAACCACGTCATGTATTCCAAACGTAACATGGATTTCCATCTTCGAAACAAATTACTTTTGTGGAATGTCAGATCTTGAGGCTATCTGCTCGATTTTAAAGTTGGGATATTTCAGCATCCACATGATTATTCCGAATAGAACGAACAAGTCGTAATATATGATTTGCACTCACCTCTTTTCTAGCGTACTGACATTGATATTATAAAGCCCACTAACAACAGCACCTTGCAGAAATGAAGCGATCGAAAAGAACAGCAACGCTCCTTTTGGGTTGTTAAGCGATTCAAAGTATTTGAAGGTGTATCTGAAGCGATAATTTTATTGCCCCGTTAGCAAAAAATATGCAAAGGACTAAATATAAACCTACTTCTAGTTCATAGAAAAAAATATTGACACGCTACATTTATTGTCTATGACTCTATGTTGACTTCTCGAAGTAGAGGTCCGACAAGCTGAAACCCGTGTATGTCTTATGTTTAGCAAAGATCAATTACACGAAGTGAGTAAGCATTGTGGCGCGCAATACAGCTGAACACTCACAACTGACTGCAAGTTGCATTCGGTTGCTGTAAATTATATAAAAATTAGAGAAGTACTCCTGAAGCAACGAGGTGATGTTTCGTGCGACAAACAAGAAATCCCACACACTATATCTGAAATAACAATACTGCTTGCCTTTTTGTCTGAATATATCCACAGCGTATTTCACATCCGCATTTTTCGTTTTCATGGTCCTGGAGTTCGTCATATTGCAAATCTTCCAGATTTTCTACACTAGAATACGGACCCTCCATTCGCAAGCATAAACTAAATAAATAATTTACTCCACTTCTGTAGTAAAAAAATGACAAAATAGCATATCGCGCTGTTTGGGCAAACTAATCCACCGGCAAACTATACCGATTCCAGCAGATAGAGCATTTACATTTCACGCCTCGTTTGTTTACAATTGTTCTCTAGTGACCCTCCACAATATTATTAGATTCTGGTTTGCAAATATTTTCCTCGTGTCCGACAGCCTAGTACCAGTGACTGAAACAATGTGCGACCTAAACGCGTGTCGGTGCGGTCATGCCTGAAGCGTAACAAACCAAAGTTTCATAATCGTTTAATGCAAAGCGCATTTTGCAGTATCGGGTTTTGGACTTTCATTTCACGATCCTATTTTCAATTATATCAAAGTTTTCCTCATATCTAGCCTGCGGGTTGAAGGAAAATGGTACTAGATTAGACATACTTTCATTGCGCAGCACAGCCGCTTTATTCGATAATTACTGATCGTCATTAAATTGCTGTCAAGATTTTTTACATGAATGGCAATTGGATGATGGCAGTTATTTAAATTGAGGATCATAGAACTGGAACTGGAACGCGATCAGTTTTGTTCAAAGACTGGATTATCGATCGGCAACGATAGTAGTATAAAAATGATCTCCGTCTCATTTGATCATTCATTATGGTCATAATCAGTGCTCTTGTAAGGGATTCAAAATCGAAAACCGTTGGCTCGTATGTAAAAATCGTAACAGTCAATACGCTATTATATCTATGAACCAATTACAAAGTCTCACAATTATTTTAGTGACTATTTGGTAAAAGGTATGTAAACATTTCTTGAGCATATATATACAACAACCTTGAATTACTCACACAAAACTCCAAAACTAGAATCTACAATCGTTATTACTTTTTGCAAATCGCATTTGGCATCGCATCATGAATTAATATATTAAATAAGCTCCGCAAAATAATTCATAGTCAATTGTCCACCGCACACTACCTGAGTAATTCAACAATATTTTCCGGTTAGCTAAATTAGCATTTTGATTCAGCAAAGTTTGTTGATGAGTAACACAGGTAACGCGTTTTTGCAAAGTTATTGCACGGCGTATAGTGAACTCTTTTACGACTTCCGCCTAATATAATTTTAAACTACAGAATTGTAAACACAGATATTTTCATCGTCAAGTCCAATGAAAGCAAAAGTTGCTCACGGGACCACGAAAACGATGTGATCATAATACAAGTTTAAAAAAATGAGAGGGGAACACGACCTCTCATTTATGTGCTAAGAGCATCATCTCTAGTCAGCGGGCCGGATGTGGGAAAATGAAGTCCTCTGTGGGCCGGATTATAACATGAATAGTATTCAATATCTTAATCAGATATATATTCGCTAATGCAAGAAAGAAAGTTATAAATCGCGTTTAAAATAAAGTTTACATTTTACAAAAAATAGGAGACCAAAAAACACATAATGAATTTATCATAATGTACTAAAAGTGTATAAAATGTAATATCATAATGTGGAGGTACAGTCAGCGATCCGGTCAGAATCTCGTCGCGGGCCGGACCCGGCCGCGGGCCGTATGTTGCCCACCCCTGAGTCCATCAGATGGTCAGTACTTTGCCACTCTCAACCCGTGGTCGCCTAACGTTTACAAATAGCTCGCAGGTTCAAATTACTGTCCATAATAGATGTAAGCCGAAGGGAGAATTACAAAACAAAGGAGTATGGATACTTGATGGTCAGTACTTTGCCACTCTCAACCCGTGGTCGCCTAACGTTTACAAATATAGCCCGCAGGTTCAAATTACTGTCCATAATAGATGTGAGCCAAAGGGAGAGTTACCAAACAAAGGAGTATGGATACCTCACAACAATAATGTATAACGAGAGATAATTGTATGTTACTCACATTCGTTACTTTAGTTCTGTTATATTAACATGCAACATGATTTCATTTGTATTGGTCAACACAACTGACTATATTCCCGAATGAGAGTTATGTAATATTGATCACACGTAAGCTAACGGTAGTTTCCTCATTCAAATTTGAAAATTTAAATGTTTAATTATGAAATATGAAATAGAAGTTCATACTTTCAGAAAATCGATTTTCGCATCAAGTCTTCTTACAAGATGGCCAGATACGAATAAATGGGTGAAACCGCGGGCTGCTCTTTCAATTAATAAAGAAAATGTCACTGAAGAAAAACGGGAATCAGAAAGAAAGCCTAATATCAGAATGATACAAAAATGGCTACGAAATATTTGTGAATGTTCTGACCATAAGTCACGCCTAGGAAAACGTGATAGATTGAGTGTTTAACTTTCATGAAACGAAGTTAATCGCAGAATTATAAGTAATACATACAAGTGTTATCAAGATATTGTATAGAGGCGTGAAACCGAATAAAAATTTGAGAATATAGCATATTAAAACTAGTCTACTTACACACCGCGTTATGTGGCGAGTCATCGCTTGGGTGACGTAATACAAGTTTCCGCTAAAATTAAAATCATATGAATTTACTTTATGTTTGTAGCTTGATCACAGATAGAGATAGTCGCGATAATCGATTGTAGGCAAACGATTAATGAAAGTAAGAGGCAAATAAGTGAGGAGTTTGATACGTATGCATAAGCGTGATCTGTCGACTGCAGGGCACTTATGGAAATGAAAGGTCGCAAAACATCATAGAATATGCATTTCTGAAAACCGAACGTAAAAATTCGATCGTATGTATTATGTTTTAAGTCAGTGGAAACATTCTATCAGACGCAAAATTTGTTGTTCAAGTTCTGATTTCAAGAAATTGCTGGGAAATAAGCGTTTCAGTACGGTATTCGAATATGGATATTTGGAAAACATTCCAAGAAGTTATCATATAATAACGTAATAAATGAAATTCTGATTGATATTTGAGTTTTAATTGACGAAGATGTGACTCGTATAATCGTGATATACTTTAATACCGTGCATTTTGTCTTCGTTGAAATCGAATGATTGAACCAACTATCTGATAGATAAACTGATTTGACAGTGCTGCTAATTGATTGGGAAATTTCATAACGCATCATTTTTAATTCTTTTTGGAATGAATGAATATATTAGTGGCCTATAAAAGTGGATGTAAGAATATACTATGTTGCCTCCAATGGAATACTTCATCACTAGTCTATATACGACAAAACAAATGAATTTTCCAAGAGTTATGGAAGTTTTACGGTAGAGTAACTCCGGTGAATAATTGAAATTCATTGATGCGTAGATTTTGTTTGCTCACGGATAGTGAAATATGGACAATGAGTAATATGTTTTTTTTATGTGGATAGATATCATATTGTTACATGTACCAATGTGACGAAACAATTTCAACAAATTCACATTGTATGAGCCAGAGACAAGATCTTGTTGAGGTACTAAGTGTAAAAGTATTGGTTAGTTTTATGCAAACACAGTTTCAGATAGCTAGACGAATAGCCTTCAGTTCATGATGTTCATAACTGTATACCTCAAACGATTTCACATTTTGTAAGGCTGTTTTTGTTGGACTATTCACCTTGAGTGACAAATCATTGGATATTTTTCGAATTCAATAGATGTCATTCATAGTAGACAATATGTTTGTTAGTCGATAGACACAGAAGGGACCTCCTGAAGTATGCCCACCAAGATGGCGCACAACCTGAACTCAGGTTGTGTACCAGGTTAGGGGTCAGGTTCTGCGACATCTCGGTGCGCATACTTCAGGAGTACCCTCGTTAAATCTATTCCGTTAATCATCATATTGTTACCTTCGACCTACCGCACTTCTGTAAATTTTTAATTGATTGTATTTCAAAATTGTTTTTAATTTGTTATAGGCCCCTATGAAATATATATCTGTAAAATTGATGTAACATTGTTTTGAATTTTTAACAGTGATAGCGAACACGTTTTTGTGTCAAATAGGTCTTCACCGTATGTAGCTACAATAATCCGAAATAACTACTGTTCGAGCTTGAGACAAGCACAAACTGTGATTTATCAAAAGTCCAAGCTTGAAATTAATTGTATGAGCTGTGTTTTTTAATGGTTGAATTTATGATCAAACGTTGTTTTCAAATTGTAATTGCATGATTCAGCCTGTTCTTCATACACGAATTCGTGAACGGTGGCTACGCAAACACATAATTTTGTTTATCGAGAGCCTAAAAATATCCTCTAAAAATGTTTTTTTAATTTTTAGTTTGAAGATTAATAATTTATGCCTGGCCGTTTAACGGAGAGTTACTGTCGTACAATTTTGAATAGTGATTTTATGACAAGTTACAATCAGTTTACAGCAAATATAGTTCAAGAAGTCCGAATTTGTCAGCATTTCATGACGTTTATAGTTATATACTCTCCCACTTATATCAATATGGAAATCGAGATACTATTGTCAGACTTGAAAAAATTTAGGAAGTGTACATCAGTCGCTCCGAATAAGGCTCTAAATCACTTTGATGTCGATATAAAAGCGTGTAACTTTACTCCTTAAAATTGTGTGAATACAACAGTTTCAAATATAGGTTGAGTAATAAGAAATTTCAATTTCTACATGATTGTTAAATTCTATTTGCATATATGATAAAAAAAATTCAGTAAAAATGAGCGTTCTTGTATACTTTCGAGTATAGACCATACATACATTTTGTTTTTTTGTATTCGGTAATCAATCAGTCCATGCAAACGCGTGGAGGAAGTTAGGAATTAGTAAGTTGAGTAGGTTTGAATAGCCAGTATGTAGTATGGCATAATATCAGACATAAATATTCGCTTGATGTGACTCAAAAGTTTCATTAACATTTATATAGAATAAGAATATATTTAGGAATCAACAAATTGGTTACATAATGCGATATACTTAAGATTTTTGCAAGATTTGTAAATATGCAGTAACTAAAATATTAATGTTTTAATATTGTAATTGTGGATAATATTGTCTAATATTTTAAAGTAGGCGTATTCACGAATGTGGATATTTTGCCGAAAAGGAAATTTGATATTTATAAGACTATGAAAGAAAAATATTGCGTGGCGAGGTACATCATAAAGTTGCCGAATGTGGGAGGTCTATGCTCACTTTGAACCATTTTTTGCCACATCATTTCTAATATTATATGAGTTGTATAATGCAGTCAAAGTATGATTCAAAGTGCAATTTTGAGCTGTACAGCAGAAAACTATCGATGACCTTCGCAGTTGAAATGTCTCCGAGAATTAGCTATGCATATGTAATAGACATTTATATAATATGGACAAAGTTCAGTTTAATATGTTGCTATTAGAGGTAACGCCTCATCTGCCACTTCACATTTTAATTACCACGTGTTATATACATGACTGGAAAAGTAATGTAAATTATATGAATGAGGATTAAAAATCTATTAGTGCGTTTTTGTCCATTCTTCAAACTTTTAGAGGAAATTTCAATATAAATGCAGCACATTTTCACTTAAAAATAAGTTCTGTAAACATCTAAGAAACCATTGCATGATCAATAGAAAACAATCAATCAAATTGTTCAGATTAGAATTTTCTAATTAGTGCAAGCGTAAACGTGACACCGGTACTTCTAGCGCAAGGAATTCTCTCATTACAATAATCATGGACCAAACGAGGCCAAAATATTTCATTTAGAAATTTGCGATGCACATGAAGCTCACGTGATTCATAATCAATTTCTTTAGATGTAAGATTGACATGGGCAAATGTTACCGAATAATTGATCTTATAACGCTTTGAAATTTGTATCACTTTCAGAAATGAGGATTAACTGGACGATGATAAACTGCCGCCTTCGGGTATAAACATTTTTCAGAATTTAATAGTCAGAAAACGTCTAATTACGTCAGGTAACAGCCTGAAGGGCTAAATTATTTTATTTCATAAATTAAGAAACTAAGCAATAGACTCATTCTTCGACCTGAAGTGTAGGTAGCGAAGTTCTCATATGTGTTCCAGTAATATATATACAGTCGAAGTAAACAATTGAAATTCAGTGAACAGGCCTTAGAACGTCCACTAAAATTATTGCACTGGGATGGGTAACATCATAAGAATAAGGAGCTTAGATCGGGTCAGTTGGAATGAGTAAATGAATTGAGTGTTATATAGGCGTTATGGTGTTGTTTATTAATTTATTTCCAGTGGATAAGATGTTGTTTTAATTTTCAAATTATCATAATGTGCGGCAATGTCGCGTGAGTTGCCACAACATTTGAGTAGAGGGTTTTATAAAATTTGCAACATCAATACAAGTACCTAATAAAGTAACATTTCTAAGATTTCCAAAGGTATATATAAATTTGTACATGTAGAAATGTCATTAATTGAGTTAATTTTATCAAAATTTTCAACGGATACGCAGTGACGACATTCCAGAAGTTTTATTTAACGTAAAAATAACATAGACACGGTAGAAAAATATAGATAGAAAAGAGACAACGAGTACCGGAGTCAGTAGTAAATATATTGTTAACTGTTCATTTTACGGTGTCAATGAGGACGATCAAAGCCGACTCGAAATATAATCATCAGAATGATAATATTGAAAATTTGGAAATGCATTCCTATAATTTACCTCGGCGTTTCTTCGCCAATGATCACATAACAGCTTTCGAGTTTATCGAACAGAACGCGCAGTTTTTAGTGAAATAAATAAATAAAAAAAAAACTAAACATCCATGTCCATCCATCCATGTATAGATGACCGGAACATTCATACCAAAATCGTTAGACCGTTCTCCGCTAACCTCGAGTTTTTCCTGCGTTTAGTGGATGTTTTTATTAACGTTTTAGTATCTTATTTTTAATGTTAGGGTTCGGCTCATCATGCAGCATAAAATGTTTTACCATTCACAGGCGCGTAAACGAAGATCACTTCAACTTCTAAGAAATCCGTAGTGGCAGGTTGTTGTCTAGAAACATTTATTCACTAAACATTTACAACCCAAACGGGTTGGATAAGAGAAATAATTTTTAAGCCTATTTGTGATTCTAGATCACTTATAATGGTGAGAGATTTATCGCGAATAGCCTAAGCGTTCACATCTTTCTCTCAGATTCATATCGTATAATTGCTAAATGATATTCTTCGTGCATGCAAAAACAGAGTCTCTTAGTTCTGTATTTAAGGTAAGTTCTGTACTTAAGGCATCCAGAGAAAGAGTGCCGTAGGCGATGCGACAATCGTCAACTGCATAAGTGGCTATCCAAAGCGACTATCTTTGCCATATGCACAATATTACATGTAGTTAGTGTTTCTATAGGTAGTCGTATATTTTTGATTTTGTGAAGAAACCTGGCTTCATACCTCATCATGAAATTCAGTTTGTAACAATGGCCAATGTTCGTGATGGCGAGGTAAAACGACAGGGAAAGAGAGTAGACCCCAGTTCAAATTAAAATATTTTCCAAGATGATTTTTATTTGTACAACTTAATAGTAAACGAATGATTTTTATTAATTTTCTGGTTAGAATATGATAGTATAATGTCTGAAGAAAATGAACATCCTACATCGAATAGTGACGTTGCAACAGCAGGACAAGTAGTGGAAGACGTCGCTGAAATTCGAGATTATGAACAATGTGGATGTCAGATTGGATGTGGCAACAACAAGAGTAGAAGGTAATTTATGATCCACTGCTTAGTATAGGTATAATACCACATAGTGCGGCGTAATTGTTCACACGATGTGGCGCTGGAACATTCCAAATGATTATATTCAGCAATTACAATTAAACAAAAAAATTATATCGTCTCACTTTCACGTACCAAAATTTCACAAAAAAATATTTTTAAGTATATATGGCCTAATGCTGTAATGGTAAGCAGAGTGTGAATTTGACCAAATGATAATAGAGAACACGACGGAACAGAGAATTTTCAGAAGTACTGACCTAAAATGTCAAGTTTGAGGCAAACTAAATCAATCAATTTAGCTGAATCATTTCATGGTAGGCTATTTATTAACATCTTTACTGATTTGTTTGCGCAGGATACCATGTCCTATGTTCAATTACTGCAACAATGCAAAGGGAGTCTTGGTATTTCTTAGCGTTGTTGCCCTGTTTCAAGGTTTTGTGATGAATGGGCTTATTAATGGAGTAATCACGACTTTAGAGCGAAGGTATGTAATGTTACTCAAGACCTTTTCATAGCACAATCGGGTATGACAACATTACCGTTTGATATCACTTTTCTCGCGACTCGTTGTTAGATTGAAGCATTGTGGGCACGATTACCGTGATCGACAAAGCATTCGATTTCACGACAAAGAGATGCTGTCCTGGCGTATGGATATTTCAGAGCTCAACGGGCTTGGGCGTGATTGAAACGTTCCTAAACCCCATAATTCCTACATTTTTGTCCTCGTGACCTAAATTTACATTTCTCGACCGATTTCTGGTACCTGACAAGATTGAACATGTAATGAAAACCCATGCTTGACATCACAAATATGAATTATTACATTTCCTGTCTTCGGCATCGTCAGCAGCGCAGCCAAATGAACTAAATACTAAATATGAAAAAGAAATGCATCATATATGCGATCTTAGCGAATTCGGGCAATGGTAACATAAGTTTATATATATGAAAGAGTTCGTGGATATGGAAGTATTAAAATGAAATATGAATGTAGACCACTCAGGCTTCTTAATATAAATTGTAATTAGTCCGATGTATATGTATTTTTGGAAAGTTTCAACCGGATGTTCCCGACTGAAATCTATTCATTCGTTAATTTCATTCAAATCAGAAACAATAAGATCAGACTTGTTCGCTTATTATGACAAAAAAAAATATCTGGCATTCAATTTGATAAAATCGTTTTCAAATTATGACACGTTCTTTCGCGGATTGGATTACCGGAATAACCGGTTATGAAATTCGATGTTGATATATTTTGATATATCTTATTTTAGGTTCAGTCTGCAGAGTAGCGAAACAGGCCTCATTGCAAGCTCATATGACATCGGCACCTGTTTCAGTCTGCTTTTTGTTACTTATGTTGGTGGAAGAGGACACAAACCATTATGGCTGGGATGGGGTACCATGTTAATGGGTGTCGGTTCTATTATATTCGCATTACCCCATTTCATTGCCCCCTCTTATATTATACCAGACAGTGTAAATTGCGTCAATATTTCTTCTGCATCCTGCGGCGAAGCCAGTATCCGAGTTTATAGGTATGTATGTATTTATGTTAATAAGATATCCACACTGTTTGGTTTGTATTTTTTTGGTAAAACTGTTTTGGCACCAATTGAATTTTTTTTCACCTTTTCTATGATATTTATGCAACGCGGCTGAAAATTATGTTTTCCCTCTTAAAATTGACAAACCACTCTTTTAAAATCATAAACCAGTCATGGTTGTGCCAATTCAAAAGCGATGCAAAATAAAACCACATCACTATTCCATCAATGCGAATTACACATACACTGAGTTACATGAGTTGCTGCAGAACTGTTATCTTAGTAATATATATAAATTCTCGTTTTTCAGAGGTTTTTTCATTACAAGTCAATTGTTACACGGTATTGGAACAACGCCGCTGTATACACTTGCACTTACTTATCTTGATGAAAACGTTAAACAAGTTTATTCTTCGGTATACCATGGTATGTATTACAAAATTATGGGAACATTTTGTCTTTATCTCAGCTCATATAGCAATTATGATTTTATCTTGTATGTTAAATTAATAAATATATCATCATGCTCTTTTGCCCGTGGCGGTAAATTCAAATTTGTATGTCAGGTAACATGAGCCTTTAATTTATTGTAATAAATATTGTCTGCAATATCACTCAAAAATTTTGTTGTGTCTAAAAGTAGTTGTATGTAATCTATCGATTAAAACATTTTCCAATGAGTTTTCATATATTATGAATCTGAGTGGTGATTTCGTTGCGTTAACTTACATTAAGCATAGAGTTTTAAATGCATTACCAACCTTTGATTAATAAATGATAATAGAATATTATCATTTCATAGGTGTATTTTATGCTGTTTCTTTAATCGGGCCAGGACTTGGCTACCTACTTGGTGGACAGCTTCTTAATATTTACACAAATCCAGGAGAAATGTGAGTAGTATCATCAATAGTAGATGGGTCTTAACTACCTCAATAAATGGAATATCACAAATATTTGTTCGTATAAATTAATTTCCAACTATTTGCCTAAAATCTTGCATCTATTTTACCGCTTGGCACAGTTTTCAATCCAACAAGAAAATATATAAAATAGTCAGTCGCGTAAATTTCTCTCAAATACGGATATATTTACAAATGACGCTGTTTCATGAATTACTGTGTGGGTATTATCATCACACACCTCAGATAAAAAAAAATATCTTACTGAATTGCTTAAATCTTTGTAACTCATTATCGAATTGTCCACTTTTATTTCTGTTATCTACGTTATATTTACAGAGTCGATATCACACCAGACAGTGTATTATGGGTTGGAAATTGGTGGGTTGGATTTCTGATCGGAGGATTTTGTTTCTTTCTCCTTTCTATTCCTATTCTAATGTTTCCAAAGCAACTCCCTGACACAGATAAACACAGAAAGAGTAGAGCGAATGAAATGCATCAAAATTCTGACGCTCTCAGAGTATGCGATGATGAAGAGTTTGGAAAAAGGTATGGAAATTTAAAAGAGTAACGTACTTCTGAGGTGTTTTTGTGATTGACTCATATATATATCTTTTTCTTTTAGTGTTCGAGATGCCCCTCGTTGTCTTTGGATTTTATTGAAAAATCCGACCATTGTTCTAATATCACTCGCTGGCGCGATGGACAACGGAATTATTGCTGGAGTGGCAACGTTCGGACCAAAATATTTCGAATCAATGTTTTCGTTGACAGCGGCGTATGCAGCGTTTCTTATTGGTAAATCCTTTTAACAACTTAAAATGGTATTTACGCTAATTTGTATTTTTCTATTATCTTCTAACTCATAATCCATATACTGTATATAATATATGATATACCGATATATATATATATATAATTTCAAAATATTTAAGTCTATAATTGGCTTCTTACACGCCAGCATCAACTTCTTAATTTAGATTTTTGACTTGTTATAATAATAATTTATAATTGCAATTTGAAATGTGAAAGTCACGAGGTGTGGGTGTTAAAACAAACAAACTATCAATAAAAAAAGATAATTTGCGACACCATATATATATATATATCACAGTGAACTTATACCGGTGTAGGCAATACCGAGAGCATTTATTCGATATGAAATCCTGATTATTTTTTATAATGATTTATTTTTCAGGTCTTATTGCAATTGTGTCATCAGCATTAGGTCAAATTATCGGTGGAGTTGTTGTTTCAAAGCTAAATTTCACTGTTAGGAAAATGTTGGGGATGTGTACAATTTGTTCAGTTCTCGGGCTCGCATGTCTTTTTATTTTCATCATGAATTGTGAAAATACAAGTAAGTATTTTATACCAATTTTTGTCGTTGCTTTTTTCTTAATGACCGCACAGTTGTCTATTGAAACTAAGAAAATTGTACGGCAGCAAATTCACAGTCGCTTTGAAAAATGTATAAATGTATCTCGTATATCGTATAAAAAGGTTCGGCCAGAATAAATATATATTGTTAAATAAATATATTTTGTTTAATCGATGAAGGAATAAATGGACGCGTTTCTAATAATATTTAAGGCTTGTTCATTTCAACCGTTTTTTTTAGAAATTGCCGGAGTAACCATACCGTACAATGGCCAAAGTAATATCATTTGTAACACAACTGCGTGTGGATGCAGCACGGAATTTTACGATCCGGTATGTGGCGCGGACAATATGACATATTTATCTTACTGCGACGCGGGATGTGACCAAGTCAGTGCGATGGTATGTATTAGTTTTTTGTTTATTTTTCATAAAATGCGTGATTGTTTAGCAGAGTTGTTTCATGTTGCTCTTTTAACGACATTGTCACAAGGTATTGAAATTTTCTTCGGAAATGGCTCGTAACCCCTGGATACGTATCACGGAACAGTAGGGAGCAATATGATCCAACCAATTCATCCTTTTTACAGAATTTTGACAACTGCTCAGGAGTATTGGATTCATCCTCAATCAGCGAAGTTTCAATGGCGTCAGCAATTAAGGGAAAATGCGTACAAGATACATGTCAAAACATGGGACTATTTGCAGTCATCATTGCACTAGCAGTGTTTTTCATATTTTTAAGCGCGCAGCCTGCATTACAGGTAAGAAGACTTTTCCAACAAATACGAAACTGTTATATTTTATGCAATAACACCTATCTATAAATGTTTTTTAACCAATAAATTGACATTGACTGTCATTCCACCGCCAAATTTGCAACCTTTATTTCCTACCTATATTTGAAATGTTACGGAATCTATATACCAGGAAGTTATTTTTGAACAAAACATATTATATATATGAATTTATGAATTTTTTGATGAATTTTCTATTATAAATAATTCAACTTATCATTTGCAGGCTTCTCTTCGGGCTGTCCCTTATTTTCAGCGTTCATTTGCAATTGGAATACAGGTACTTAATCTTCTTTTCTGGTATTTGCCACATATTTTGATTAGGTGTTTCAAAAAGTTTTCGCATTTATTGCTGATTTTTTTTTATATGTTCGCGAAAGCAAATGTTCTCAAATTTGAACCACCGTTCGTTTTGACACCAACAATTTTTTTTTTTTAGTGGCTGATCCTACGACTGCTCGGAAGTGTCCCCATGCCTAATATACTCGGAGCAGTTTTAGATCTGTCCTGTACGGTATGGGGAATGCAATGCGGAGTCTGTGGATCTTGCAAAATATATAACAACCAAGATATGTCAAAGTATATGACGATTGTACTAACAGTGGTGAAGGTACGTTCATATATGTTGCAATACCATACGTTAATTGCATTGAAGGATAAAAATACTCGTTAAAAATACTCAAACATTATTATATGTCTTGTTCCACAGGCGTTTTCGGTGTTTTTTTTCGCGTTGGCGTGGAAGACCTACAAATCACCGCCACCGAAAGCCGACGAATCCGAGAGTACCGCTGTTAAAACGTCGTGTTCGCCTACAAAATCAGCTGACGCAATTCAAGGAATCGCCATGACTGAAGTTGATCACAAGAAAACTTTACCGGAGGATCGAAGCCATGATAATCCGAACTTTGTGCCCGATTCGTAATTTAACGTGGTGTCGGAGAACTAAAATTAAGTGCTAACGAGAATATACTGAAAAGATATTCAGCCATAGTGTACCTCATATATTCCGTCAAGAACACTGCAGACGAGAAACGACGAAAATGTCTGCCGAAACGATATTTCCCGGACATCGTGAGTGCAGCAATTTGAACAAATGCTTTTCTTGGAATGAAGATAGTTACATGACAAATTGAAAAATTGATTTCATTGACAACGAAAAGATTGACATTCAAACTGTTTTTTGAATATAGTATGTAGGCTATACTGCCGAAATAACGTTACTAACCCTACGTATATAGGCTAAGTAATTTGCTAGGATGATAAATTAATTTGAGCTAAATGTGAATCAGTGCAATTTCGTAAGCAATTCCATCAACTGAATTTATCTTCAATCTACTTTTATTAAACTATAGTATTTATTTATTCTAGCATTTAATATTTGATTTCATATTAATGTGATAATGTTTATGGCAATAGACAATCCAATTGTAAATAAGTTTTATTACGGCAATGTCGTCATGCACTATTTTTTAAATTTTTTGAATGATTATTTAAGAGACATAAAAATAAAAGTCGGTACAGGTTTCCGCAAACTGAAAATTTTTATTAGTATTCAAGTGGGCGACTTTAATAGAATATGAGATATGGCAATATATAGCCAGTGACAATACAGAGCGCCTCCGTTGCGAGTGGACAACAAACATTTCTCGGTCAGTAGACATTTATTGCAACGTTAAGGAATTCGATTCAAACAAGCCTGGTTCGTAAGAGTTCGGATTTAACTCTGACGGTTACCCAAAACCATAAATTTAGAGCGCTTCTCGACATTGTTTCCTCTTGATGACGCATACATGTACTAGAAAAATATTGGCATCGAAAAGGTCTCATTTAATAATACTACCAGGGCTATGGTTCTCCAAAATAAGCCTAATTTTCACTCGCAGCATTCTTTCCTTACAGCATTTAAAGCGGTAAATATGACTGATGTCGCTTCGCAAGAAATCTTATCGGTATCGCAAGCATGTAAAATCATTGAAGCAGTGTTAGAGTCCCTGAAAAGAAATGACTTGACTTTATGGTTTTATTCAAAAAAACAAAAAACATCAATATATATGTGCGCAAAGTCTTGAATCTAGCCCTACCACAACAACCTAACTATTCAGAATTTGTACTTGAAATTTAATATAGAAATATATTTCTATTCTATAGAATATATTCAAAGAGGAAACAATTTATTTGAAAAATTATAATATTATTTTGTATATCTTTGCTTTAATCACATTTGAAATAGCGCAGATATTATAGGATAATTGATGAACTCGTGCTTTTTACTGCTTGGCTGATTTCAGGCTTTCATCTTCATGAAGTGCTTTTTTTAGACAGAAGTAGTATGCTCTCCAGGGGGGACTTCATTTTAAGTGTGTTTCCAAATATGGGGAGTGGTAAATAAATAATACACACAAATTAAAAATGGACAATCCCGGGAAGCGAGCAAAATCTCTGATGCAGTTTAAAATATGAGAAATATCATGTGCCCGCTCACCAGCACACTTTCGCAAAAAAATTACAAAAAAACACAAACTTTATTAAAAAAAATTGATGAATGTTTGGAACTTTCGGAATGTTGTACTTTTAAAATACTTCAGCTGATAATGATCTATTCAATCTGATTCAAAGATAACGTGTGGTTAGTGGTGGTGATAAGGGTGTTGATAGGATAGTGTTTCTTAGAGATGGTTGCTTGGAAGAAGCATGTTTAAATATTCATTGTAAATTATTATCTAATAATATAAAAACCCTTCATTATAAACAAATGTTTCAGTAAAAGTTAAACCAAGGATTAAACATATTTCTGGAAATGATTTATGTGTATTTTGTTCTCAAGCACCGTAATTTATATCTCATTTATTTTGGAACTGTGCTTTTACACAAAATGTGTATGATTATGTTTTTCTGTTGTATTAAAAATAAACAATTGCAAGGTAAAAAAACATTTATAGAACATGTATTTTACTAGAACTAAAAAATCAGTGTTTTTCACATTTATCGTTGATTGAACGTAATGCAATCATACTTCTACTGTGTATTGCAAGATATAAAATATGATTGGAACGTAATGCAGTTATTTTTGAAAATGTTAATCCAAATGTAAATAATGTCATAGCAAGAATTAGAAAATGCCTTTCAGCAAGGAGAAATATAGAACAATTTAGACAAAAACCTAGTTTTATAAAAGAACTTGACATAATCTGCCAGAACCTATGAATAATTGTATAAATTTTTATTTTTCTGCTAACAATAATTAAAAAACATGTAAAATAATGTCTATTTACTGTTAAACATGGTAAACTTTATCTGGAATCAACAATGAAACAATTTAAATTACTTGATAATACTGGATGATGTTTATGAATATATTTATTTATTATACGTGACTATGTTCTGTGTTTATTAATTTTTCATCATTTATTTATTTTTACAAAATTGTTACGAATCCACAATGTGGAACCTTAAAAAAAAAGATAACGTGTGGGATGCAATGTGATGAAGGGGCCTGGATAGTCAAAAGTCGTGAAGGACTACACTGATTCGGCATTAGTGAATGATGATAAGTTGCTTTAAGATACATACAAACTTGAATCAAAACTATGCCAATGGACCTTTCCCCGACCTTTGACCCTGAAAAAAATTCTTCCTATAATTTACCATTGCAAAATTTTCGGGGCTATTTTGAGAGTGATTTTGCGAGTTGGCGCCTGTAAAATGGGGTATGTGTTTCAAACCATCATTATGATTCATCGCATACAACAGTCTGTTTTTTAAAAGTAACGGTAAAGAATTTTAGCCTAGTCTATCACAGCTATTTCTACACTAATTTTTTATTATTGCAATTAAATTAAAACTCCTATGAAAACAGAGTGATCATTGAATTATCTGATTTATATTTAAGTTGCCGAAACACAACTGAAAACTAACGAATAGAGTTCGAAAACGCGAAAACGAGGTAATGTTTACGACCACGCTCGAAAATCTGTCTGAGTGAGAAAAGTGTTGAACGGATGCGAAAAGGAAGCATTGTTACGTCACTTTTTGCATCTTGCTGATTGGCTAATGTCACGAAGTAAACAATGAAGTCAATGCTCAGGGTGAGGTCCATACATTCTATGCTCGGAAACTCCCAAGTGCAGTTTCAAGTATTTTGTGGCGTCTAGAGCTGCCGCAAACCATGGCGGGATTTTCAAACCATGGCCGCTATGACCAAACCCCATTGCCAAACCCACGTCCCACGGTGACTGACTTTTTAGCTGCCACAAACCAATAGCGAGCTGCCTTGGTTACGGCAGCAAACCGAATACCACCAATTTTGCTGCCGTAACCACGGCATGTCGGCTGTAATAGTGCGGCTGCCCCTGATTGTGATAAATATTGTGGGACCTCCTGAAGTATGCGCACCAAGATGGCGTACAACCTGAATTCAGGTTGTGTACCGAGTTATAGTTCAGGTTGTGCGACATATTGGTGCTCATACTTCAGGAATACCATATTGGGTAAGTTAGAACGCTTTTCTTATGAATACAGTTTTGATGTATTTGGGGTTAGGTTTAGATTTGAGTCGATATAATTCCACATGATATATTAAAATATTGTACATGACTTTGTAAATATACCGGTAATAGAGCGATAAAACCATGACAAGAGACGCCGCCGTACGTTCGTGACAGGAGCTGCCATGAAGTGGTGAGAACTGCGCCTCGAAACTCCGGTAAGCTGGTGCTGAACAGTAGACTCTGCCTAGTTCAGTACGGTAATTGCCAGTTCAACAGTTACGTTAGATTAGAAGATAACGTCGTGAGACTTGATTCTAGTCAAAGTAGGTATTCAAGTCGCAAAGTTGGCTAGTTTGGTTCTATTAGGAATAGGATAGGTATGGTAAAGGAGCGGCGGTGTGGCTCAACAGGCTAAGCGTTAAGAATACAAGAATACGCTCGCCACCGAACCTCTAATTACCGTACCGTACTCTGCGTGGGTTCACAGGTTCGAATCCCATGCAGGGATGGTTATGTGCGAGAGAATTGCTGGACTCCTCGCCGTCGTTGGGTGGTTCACGTAACCGCTGGTCGGTTATGGCTTCCTCCCCCACCAGACCAAGTCCATGCCTCCGAAAAACAAACAGTACGGTATACCGTACTGGTAACTAATCCCATACCCGACTTGGAATGGTAACCGGACGAGAGGCCGTGGTTCGCCATATGGATAAGCCGTCTTATCGGCTTTTCTCTCCCCCAGGGATAAATATGTAAATCCTATCCTATCCTAAATTATGCATTGGTAACGGTATCTTATCTCGAGCAAAGTGGTGCAAAAAAAAAACTAACGGCAGAACGGCGTGACATTTATTACTGTATTATCTGGAATTTGAACTCGTGAGTTTTCATTTTTCTAAAAAAGGGGAAAAACTGCAATTGAAAATCGGACAATATGGTACCAATGCAGCTAAAGCTGTACGGTACCTATAATGACAGAATGAGACCAAAACTTCCAATTGTCCTTGCGTCTATGATGGCTTAGCTTGTGTGGCTAAAATCTAGCCCATGTTCACATCTCAGTTCAGTCAGTGTTAGAGCATCTAGGGGCGATAAACCTTATTTCGCCAATTTTCAAAATGACTGAAAAGTGCCTAATTCACAATTGCCTTCTTTTGATCTTTTACTTTTAGTCCGTATAAAATTAGCCTATAATATACTGATATTATTCGTTCTGCATGGTTCTGGCTGTATTCCTGGTTTCCGGGTTTCGTTAGATAGACATAGTTGGTGACCAGGTAACGGTCCAACATGTCATCATTCTCAGAAGCTGCACTTGTGGACAAGTTGTCTGAATTGACTAACTCAATGCAGATCATTCAGACATTGTCTTTGTGGCTGATACATCACCGTCGTCATTCCAAAACAATTATACAAGTTTGGCAAACAGAACTAATCAAAGGTAATGTGAAATGATTTTGACAGTTCAAACAATTTTCTTGATTTATTTATCACAGTATCATCAGATCATTATGTTGTGAATGATTGTAAAAGAACAGGAGGGAAGCAGTAAACCCATTTTTTTTCAAAACAGACAATTTGTAAGGAAGTAGTGAAACTTTATTTTGGATCGGGTATAACTAAGTATGATATATTTTCAAACAACATATTAAAATATATCTTCATTTTAGCAAAAACCAGCAAAAAGTTGACCTTCCTCTACCTTGCAAATGACATTCTGCAAAATTGCAAAAAGAAAGGTCCAGAGTTTCATAAAGCATTTGGTGGAGTACTGATAACAGCGTTTACTCACGTTGCTAAGTATATACCATTTGTTTATGTATTATTTAAATTTATATGTTTTTTTTCGTTTATAAGTTCCAATGTAAATCCACAATAATTTTAGATTTCATCTGTGGAATTCAAAAAAATGTTCATTCTGGTACAAGCAAATTGTATAGATAAAATTGGAAACTTAATTATCTGTTTTCGATGAAGTTTTGATTTTTTTTTCTTCAGTTTGATGAACATCTACCAATGTAATGCTTAGTTTGCTATAATTGCTATTTATCCCACGATTACCAAAACAAATTTATTTTAAGACATGCTGATGAAAAAACAATGAAATCCGTTCTTCGTATTCTTGACATTTGGCAAGAAAGGGCTGTATTTGAAATGGAATATGTCAATCAAATAAGGAAGTCTATAGGGAAAGGTAATAAATTGGATTTTTCATCCACGATTCATACATATTGATGCTGCTCTGCATTATAATAAAAAATGAGTATATTTGTTTGTTCAAATATTGCGAAGAACTTTGGGGTTTTAAGATTTGGTCATGTAAATTCATAATTCCATGATTAAAAATAGTGAAATTACTTTATGAGACCATTTCCAACAGTATCAAAACAAACAAAGCAACCGAAAACGAAGAAAGTACAGCCAACGAAGAAAGTTGCAGTTGCTGATTCATCATCAAAAGCTCCAGAAGAAGAAAAACCTGTAAGAAAGAAAAGCAGACTCGATGAATTAATAACAGAAGAAGAGGATGATGATTATTTAACTTTATCACCGAGGGATCCTCCAGAGGTTGATTTTTTATTTAGTATTATTTGAAATCTCGCAGCAGTATGTAAAAGTCTGTAGCTTAATGAAGTAATTTAAATATTTGTGAGTATGATCAGGTTTTTGTACTTTGATTCACCAAATTCATACATTTATTGAAACAATCCAAAACAATACTGCCAGAAGAAAAATGAGGTACTCAGGGTAAAACTTTATAGCATGGAAACTAGATAATTCAGAACCTTCCAATGTAGGAATGAGATCTACCGACTCATCTAGTAGGAAGACAAAATGTTTAGAATATCATTGTCTGTAATATGATATTCATACAGTTAAGCCTCAACGTGAGAGAAATTGCAAACCTAAAGCATCATATTCATAACTCTCATAAGAATTTTGTCAGGCTGGTTTAGAAAATAACAAGAGGATCTTCAACCTATTTTTATATTGTTGTATCATCCAGGCTGAAGATCTAGTAAAAGCTCTAACAGAATTGGAGAATGCGGCCTCTACAGATGCAGCAGTTCGTGAAAAAATTGCAAGTTTGCCTCCTGAGGTTCAAGATATATCAAGACTGGATAAGATAGCTGGTAGGTTTTTCTACATCTGAAAAACCTATTGTACTGAGATGTCTACTGAATTCTAGTTGATGTTATTTATTGAGATGTAATTCTAATGCTGCCATGTCATGGGTTAACTAAATAGTGCAGTTTAAATTATGCGATCAGACTTATAAAACAATTCTCGTTCTAAATATTTAATTCTAGGCAACATCCCATGTGAAACTACTTATATCTTATGGTTTTCTCTCGGCTTTGCATAATTTTTTATAGGCACATTGGGTATCACATTATATTAACATACTTCAGTATATCTAAGTAGATTGTGGAATGTGAAATATCAGTCCTTCTTGTTACTATAACATATTTATGTCATAATTTAGATATTGAGAGTGCAGAAAAGTTATCGGCAATAGTGGATGAAGCTTGTCTGCTTTTAGCCGAATATAATGGTCGACTTGTTGCTGAAATTGATGATAGAAGACAAGTAGCAAGAATGTTGTCTGATTATATAAGACAACAAAAAAGTCTTCTGCAAGAATCTGAAGACAAATTGCAGGTATTTTTTGTGATGCTTTTAGTTTTGTTGTTACCAGGGTAGGAGAAATTACATCATATCAAGAAATGAAGAAAAGAAACAGAGCAGATGCTTAAGATATCATCAAGAAGAGTCCTACTGCAGCTGAATGATCCGTGTTTATACTGGTGACCAGTAAAGTTTGAAATGAAATAATGGCATGACAGTAATGATTATTTAACAAATACACAAGACCCTTGGAAAACCATTATCATTTTAGAGAGCAAAATTTATTCAAATTCAGAAAAGTAAAGTTCATAATTGCCTGGTACATCTCTACCTAACCCGTTTTAGTAGGAACTGAACTTTTTCGAATGTCATTGTTGTTGGTACTCACTTATGTTCAACTTCAATTCCAAATAACATTTGTATATTATGAAAAATGAGGCATTGAATTATTATATTTTTGGTTGGTAATTCAATATTGTTAGTTATGGACTGCATTTAATTTACCTTTGTTATTTTCAACAGGAGTATAGAACAAAATTAGCGAAAGTATCAGAGGTTCGCAAAGAACTGAAGTCGCATCTTCAGAACCTACCAGATCTCACAATGCTTCCAAGTGTCACTGGTGGACTGGCACCACTGCCTTCAGCAGGAGATTTGTTCAACTGAGATGATGCTCTCGTGATATCGAAATGTCATTAGTCTGAACTACGGTGTTGCTATGCAAAAGAGTTTGATACGTTTCCTTTGAACTCATACATGGGGTTTTTGACGTAAGAATCTATTAGGAAATGTGATTAACTCACTTGTGAGTTATAATCTGTTCTGCCAGAGTAGTTCAGCATTCAACAACAACGCAGAGGATAGATTGTCAAAGTAATATCATGACTTATCTGACTTGGTCAGTGGGAAGAACATGAGTAAACATACTTGGGTGTTATTTTCTTACATGAGTGAAATAAATATTTTAGAATAGTACATTGGAAAAAATGAAATTCGCTTGTCATTCATAAAGTTTTGGAATAGAATAGGATTTTCTTAGTTTTCCCAGGGAGTGAAAAAGGGCTATAAGATGGCTAGATCATAATGAGAACAATGCCGTCCCAGTTGATTGTTTCTGCTCGATTTTTTAATATTACATATCATGCCTTAAGGATACATTTTTCGTCAAACATGTCAGCCAGGTTCACCTATCAGCAGATTTTATCAATCATGTGTTATGTAATTTTAGAATGGGAAATGTGAGCTTTTGAATTTGTTTTCAATGTTCATTTTAAACTTACGCGTTTTTCTTTTATATAATTTGGAGTTTGGACTATTTTATATGATAATCATTGTTTGATAGTATGAGTTATAGATAAATTTGATTTCATGACTATATTCTGTATATGACTAGTGTTATGATCTCAGCCATTGACTATACTGGACTTTAACTCTTTCTTAAATACTCGTAGATCATCTTGAGCGAGTCTGTTCAGCAGATTGATGTAGGGGGAGCTTTAGGTAGGTGTGTTCATGTCAAGGTCGATTGCTAATACATGATCGAATAGGTTGAGTCTTCGTGTCATTGCAACACGCATTTATCCATTTCACTTTTGATATGAAATCCACTACGACTCGACTTTTAACTAACTACTGATATGCATCCGTATCACTATCGGCTTAGTAGGTATTGCCAATCTTAGCTTTATTTCTGCTCTTTTCCATTTATATTTGGCATATCGTAATAAAATTTGCAAGATGGTGTATTTCGGCATGATCCATTTGAAGAGTTGCGGCCACTGCCGGGTTAACCGTTCGGCAAAATAAGCACATGCTTAAGAGCACCGAGGTAATGGTGGCAGGTGTTTAGGGCCTCTGAAAGTCCTGACCCGACCGTGGTTGCAGCACTATGTATATACCATCCGTCTATTTGCCCCACTATGTTCTCTACTTACGCCAAGGCCAGACACTACTAACTCTGTGGTCATGCTTTGAAATAATTCATAGCTTTACAACACTACTTGCTTATGTCTCTCATCACTGAGATAAGCTTACCGACTATCAATATCCCACAGTGTGATTCAAACATGAATGTTCAGAATCTCTATTACATATGTTGGAAAAGCATATACAAATTACATGAAATTTTTTTGTAATAATGAAATATTTTACATCCATCTGGATTGCATAATTAACACTCACACAAATATAATAAAATTTGAAAATTCTTAAAATATATATATTTATGACTTGGCAACTTAATCTCAACATAGTAACCTCATTTCCTTAGGTCTGAGGCAACATGAGCTAAATTGCAAACACAATCGAAGTAGATTTACCCGGAAAGGGACAAATCAACAGTGGATACTACACTTTTTACTGGATAAAAGCCAGTATACATAAACAAGCACACATTGGCATCTGACAGAAAACCTTGAGGCAATTAATTGTACCTTTCCCATAATACAATCCCATTTGTATCATCCCATTAAAAAGTGTGAATATTACTAAAACTGAAGATGTTTAGGGCAAATGACATATATATATTATCATCTGGAGCTGATGGCCATTTTCATTCTTGCATATTTTCAACATCGTGGAGAAACCACCATGGTATCATATCTGTGAAGGAAAAAAAACATTGTCACTTGCAAACTTTCACATAAATTCTTTGGTGTGAAGTATACAATAGAGTCCACAATACTTTAAAAGGTCAATCTTAATTATATTTAAATAGCATTTGGCATTAACCATCATTTTCAAATGAACAATAATTTTGACTACTTTAATTAGAAATCCCCTCATATCTTAGTTGAATTCTATTGGCATACTTATTACATAATGTCATATTCCTCATACCCTGAAAGTAATTAAGTTTAAACCCCCTAGTGAAGCACACTAGAAAAATTATAAGAACACTTAAAATTATGTCATGGAGTTTGCCAACAAGACATTGCCATTAGCAAAAGATAATAGCTAACCTCTGCAAGACCCAAGTTGGACATTTCTTGAACTTTGAAACCGGTCCTGATCAGATTGTTCCACCTAGATGATTATCAACGTTCATAAAAGAATATAATTGCAAAAAAACATTAGTGTTAGTGATATGATGTCGATAGTATTATATTACCACACAATGGAATTAAAGTTACTAATGAAGAGCACAAAGGTGGCGTTCACTCGTTCAGTATGCTAAAATATCAACATTTTTGATATGGATGTTATATGACTTTCAGATAATAGTCTTCACAAAACTTCGTAAAATTAGTACAAGTTTGTCCTATTCACTTACTGTTGTTGATGATGTGTTATCGGCAATATCATCAGTAACTGATTCAACCATTCTTTGTTCAGCCTGACTTGCAGGAACAATGGATTGTTGACTTTCTTCAGGTTGAGTCTTTTGAGATTTTAATGCTTCAAAAGCAGATATTGCAGCTGCAACCTCAGCATCGTTCCCTACAGAAAAAATAACTCCCTTTTCATCAAAAATAAGGTCAAATTGTGGATGAATCTATGCCTATAGTAAAGATTCATATAAAACATGCCGCTTTGTATTGAATCACCACCATATGATTTAAACAGGGTTCGATGGTCGAAATTCGGCGCCTGGGCACAAATCAGCATAGCATTCCATATTTACAGCGTTTAGCTCATTTGACTTTTGTACTATGACTATTGAATTGAAAAGAAACCTTTAGATCCTCCCTTCATTGTCCTTTGATTCATTATGATTTCTTGAATACGACTTAAGAAATAATTTTGATCTGGTATGAGGAACCCATATAATTCTGGATAATCTGAAACAATACAAATATGTCTGAGGTGGTTCAAATTCTAAACCTAGCACTGGGCATCTATAATTAATGATTTGTGAAACATAACCCTAATTTTTAGCAATCTTGGCTTGCTTTATCACGGGTGATAAACTCAATAGAGATTTGTTCACTTTGAGCATGATGTATCACTATGATATACCAGTAAAACTTAGATATAGGGTGAACTAAAATTTAAAATGGAAGTGATGTTGTGAAGCAGTTTTGTCAAAAAACATATATTTTGCAAAAGAGTTCCTAATGAACCCCTTGTTTTCTTTGTAAGCTAGACAATGTCACACGAGTCTATCAACTTTTTTAAACCCCACATTAAGGAATTCGCTGATGAACAGTATAAACCTACACTAATGGCATGATACATCTCTTACACTAACACGGTGTTTAATAAGGGAATATGTCTAATTCAAAAAACAAGTGCAGAGATAATCAATAACTACAGTTAATTAACTGCATCATGGTGCAACAAATTTGTATTGGTCATGAAAAATTGAATTCGCTCAATTATCTTTTGTTTCTCTTTTCTTCATGATTCTATTGTTTACGAGCTTCAAACAGTTTTTTGTTGTATTGCATTTTATTTAAACTTAATTATTCTATAAAAATTAACAAATCAATGATAATCTGAGATGCTCATGCAAGGTGAAATAAATATCCCACAAGAAAGTTCAGTTGTGTGTACGCCTATTTGTGCTAGACTTTTCATTGTTCCCATTTCTTTTGTCATATACAATGTATAGTTATTCGACAGGATTTTGAATGAATGAAACACAATAGTATCAATTCCCGCATATGGCAATTGTCGACCTGTATTTTGCGTTGTAGCCATACCGAAGTCTCATTATTTCATTTATATTGTCATACTATGAAGTAGCAATCCTGAACTGCTGTTAAGCGTGTCAATAGTACATGTCGTACAACTGTGGGTTAGGTCAGTAAGGTCTTGCACATTCATCTAGCCTGTTATGATGTTTATTTATTATGCAAAAGCTGTTATGTTTACAGAACATTGAACATACGAGGTGTGGCTAAAAAGAAACGAGACTGACGTCACAGATTGCGCAACACGATTAACCATTGGTAATCAACACTTTTACAGTGTGGTGTAATATGTGTTCTTTGTTCAACAGCTTTTTTGACACAATATCGCAATTATTTTTGCTCTTTAGGAGCCATAGGTGAATGTGATTAATTGCTTGTTGAAAAAAAAATTGCCGTGCGAGATCTGATTGAGTATTTTGGCGATAGGGGGTTCAATTGCAGAATGACGATTGAGCAATGAATTAACATTAAATTTTGTGTCAAACTTGGAAAAACGGCGACTGCGACTTTGAAGAAATTGTGTGATGTTTATGGAGATTCTTCCATGTCCAGAACAAGAGTTTTTGAATGGCACAAGCGATTTGTGGGATGCAGGGAGGATGTGGAGGATGATTCGAAGTCAGGAAGGCCTTGCACTTCCACAACTGATACCAACATCGAAAAGGTATCAGTTGTGAGTTCAGTTGTGAAAGGCAGTTGATTCGCAGCGACCGTCGCTCAACAATTCGCGTCATTGCGAAGTTGGAAAAGACAAAAAAAAACGGTTCGCACCAGTTTGGTTGACACTTTTGGCTTGTGAAAGGTGAGTGCCAAAATGGTGCCAAGGCTGTTGACTGAGGAGCAGAAAGCTCAACGATTAAATGTTGCCCAGTTGACATGCATTTTTCCAAGTTTGACACAAAATTTAATGTTAATTCATTGCTCAATCGTCATTCTGCAATTGAACCCCCTATCGCCAAAAAACTCAATCAGATCTCGCACGGCAATTTTTTTTTCAACAAGCAATTAATCACATTCACCTATGGCTCCTAAAGAGCAAAAATAATTGCGATATTGTGTCAAAAAAGCTGTTGAACAAAGAACACATATTACACCACACTGTAAAAGTGTTGATTACCAATGGTTAATCGTGTTGCGCAATCTGTGACGTCAGTCTCGTTTCTTTTTAGCCACACCTCGTACATAGGCCTACATATAGTCATCACGCAATTGTCAAAACTTAACAACAGCAGTAAATTTGGCACATAAGTTTAATCAATTTTGACCTCTGTTTACCTGAGTTACAAAGCAGCAGGAGCACTTTGTTTTCATTTTGTTTTTTTGATGAAATGTCAATCCATGCCATCTATAAAAAAACACCAAACCCTTTCATTAGAATAGGTTTCTTGTTACAAAACTACAGTAATTCTATTTGGTAACCAACAAACAATGCCGGTGATGATATACGTTCAACATTTCATTCTAAATATATGCTTTCAGAGTTTCAGTTACCAGTCTATGAAAAAAATCCTGTTTTGGCTCAACTTATTTTATAACAAAATTCCAAACAACAACGAACCTGATTATTCTTTCCAATTTTTTCTGTCACTTCTTTAATTTCCTGATATGATGATGTTATGAAATATCCTGATGGACTGGTACCAGTATAACGTCTAATATCACCCTATGTTACATAAAAAAAAATTTAAAATATGACAACGTAAGCATGGCATGAAGCATGGAAAATATCTTTTTTGAAGTAGTTCAATTCTAAATCTAAAATTCTTAATTCTAATTCTCTAACAAGTATTCTCTGATAATTTCGCAAAATTATTTTTTCAACCCGATACTTTTCGGAGCCATGATCAATGGCATAAGGCAAGAAAAAGCACTAAAATCACAGAAATTTCCTATATCTTGTTATCCCACTAGCGAGTGGCATCATCTGATTGATGTGTTCGAGCTTTGAAATTCTGTTTGGGTACTGCAGGATTTTTGTCTAATTATTGGTCAACTACCGAATTTTTAGTGTGCAGTTGTTCGAATATCGAGGTATCATTGTATTTTAGATTGCCAGTATCATAACAAATAAATAAATTCCTAAAATAACTGCTGTACAAATGCATCTATTGGCAGTTATTATAATAAAACCTGTAGAAAATTGTAAAGTAGAAATGTAGAAATAAAAAAATTTGTTTAGATATGGGCACATTTAGAAAAATGTGCTGCTGGAAACACATTACCGTAATAATAAAACATATCATATAATGTAATGTAACTCACAATATCAAGTTGTGGAATCAATTTCATTGCAAACATTTGCGACCAATTCTGACCATCCAGAACTTCATTCTCATTTTCATTACCATTATCCTGAGGAGTTTGATAAATCGATCCACTTATATACAATGTAGGATTTGGAGCCTTTGATAAAACATGATGTACAATAAAGTTTTATTTCAAAGTAGCTCAAATGTATTACTACCTTTGTAATGTATATAATTGGAAATGTCCTGATGACAGGCATTTCTGGAGACAATGAAATTTCAAGAATTTTGACAATATTTTTTTTCCTTATACTGTTTAAAATTAATGGGATTTCTGAATACTAATATGCTAAATAAATTAAGACTCGCAATATACATTTCAATAGTAAACTAAACAGTGGATACAAAAATACAACCGCTGTGTTTACCGCACTTTGTATGGAACATGTTAATCATTGATATAAATTATTGAACTTATTAATAAATCGGATCGCTATTAATTATAATCGAGTATGAGCCAGTGTGTTTATTCTGTACATGTTAAATAACCGTAGTCGTCACAATAAAGTTATATTTCAAGGGATAGAGGTAAAATACTTTACAGATATCACATTCAAATTATAACTAAATAGTGGCGTTGCATAGTTCATGTACAATTTCAAGCTGGCATCATCACAGACCTAAATAATTTACATTGATAGCGTAGCAGCTTATTCAATAATTTTTTAAAAACCAGTAGTAGTCAAAATCATGGGTTGGAGAATGCACAAATTTTCTTCATTACAACTAAAATAGTGACCATCACTATGTATACTATATGCCGTTTATTAACTGGCATCTGAGGCAACCTCAAGTATTTCAGTAATGTATAATACAAAACATACCATGTACATACCTGTAAATATTTTACTGTGCCATTCCACACCTGGTTCAAGCTTTCTATAAGTTGCTGACAGATATCTGAATACATATTATAATTATTAAAAACTGAATGGAATTGTTAAAACAGGAAGTTGTTTCCAAAATAGCATAACTTATTGTAAATATAGAAATATCCAGTGATAGCAACCAAAACCAGATACAACTGTACATGACCAAGAGGAAAAGATAATCTTACCCAATCTGAAATATTCATCATTCAGAATTTCCTTTATTTTTGGTCGCTTGGTTGGCTCAAACTGCAACATCTTCATAAGCAAATTCTTTGCCATATCACTGCCTGGTACGAGTAATCTGCTCAAATCAAGACCCTTCCCCTTCTTAATATTAAAATTCCAAAGAAGCATGTCATCACCAAATGGATGTTGGCCATAACTCCAAAGAAAAAACATAACGAGAGCGAGTGAGAAAATATCTGCAAACCTTGAAATAATATTCTTGTTATATGTTTCTGGAGCTCTGTATCCATCAGTATCTGGTTCCAGGGTGCTGACACCGGTAACAGTGCGTCCATTTATCAATTCTTTGCTCAATCCAAAGTCAACAATTTTGATATATTTTTTACAGAAGGAGAATAAAATATTTCCTGGTTTTAGATCCCTGTGAACAATATTGTTTTTATGGATGTGCCCAATAGCTTCAACTAGTTGTAGAGAGTGTTTCAGGGCAAGTTCAATATTGAAAGGAACACCCTTTCTCTTTCTATCATCCATGTAATCTGCTAGATTTTGAGTGCCGCATTTTTCCATAACAATATACATGTATTTGATTGGTCCCTCAGCACACAAATCCGAGTGGATAATAGATGACACATTTGTATGTGGTGTCAATTTCAACAAAATTTTTGCTTCTTCCTCATGCTTTGTGGTGTGTGAAATGAATTTGATTGCTACAATTCGACGACCAATAATGGGACTGGTCATTACCCCCTCATAAATGTGACCTTTTTTCTTTGAAAGCTTACGACTTCTATACATTTTAATGTTTGAAGAGAGAGTTACAACTTCTGCAAAAGGGAAAAACAAAATAAGCAACAAAAATATTAAATTCCATTCAGCCTTATACCCAAAGATTATTAAGATTGTTTTCATCTAGTGTTCTTTGCAAAATTTCTTTATTGATATAGTTTTACATGTGTATGCAAATGTCACATAATAACCTACCGTAATAAAAATCAATTGCATGTAATGTATATTCAAAGTGAAGGTTCATCTATATGCATGCTAGATAACCAATTGGTATAATAAAACCATTTGCACATATTATGTAGAAAATTCATTATATACCTTCATTTTCATTTTCACTGTCACTGCTATCACCTGAAGATTTTTTTTTCCTTTTGCCCTTGGATTTTTTGGATTTCTTTCCTCGTCTTGAGCGGCTGTCTTCTATATATCATATTATAAAAAAAGCTTAGCAAGTGTTATCAGTGACAAATTAGCTAAACTATATTGGGCCGAGGCAATCTGTCTGATGCCAAAAATCAGTTTTCTATTTGTATAAGTTCATGCATGCAATGAATGTTTCCTTGATAATTGACAGTCTTGTGTAACTTTATAAATTTTGTAAATCTGCAAGGTGTCTAGAGTGACATAGTAATAAGTTTATTACATCTGCTTGCCTGTTTATACCTTTTTACTCTGACAGATTTTCAGTCATGATGGTAAACATTAGCTTTACTTCCCTTATTCTTTGTCAAGAATGCGTTATCAACATTGTAAAGTACATATCTCAAATATTAAGATTGTTTTTATCTAGTTTTGTTTGCAAAAATTCTTATTGATATAGTTTTAAATGTGTATGCAAATATTACAAATACAACATACTGTAATAGAAATCGATTGCTTGGATTTATATTTGAAGTAAAGGCGTGCCTATATGCAAACAAGATAACCAAAATTAGCATAAAACAATTTGCACATATTAGTACCTTTATTTTCACTGTCACTACTATCATCTGAGGACTCTTTTTTCTTTCTGCCCTTGGACTTTTTGGATTTCTTTCCTCGTCTTGAGCGACCGTCTTCTATATATCCTATTGTGAAAAAAGTTTATCAAGTGTTATCAGTGAGTGACACATTAGCTAAACTATATTGGGCAGAGGCAATCTGTCTGATGCCAAATATCAAATAGTTTATTTCATTTTAATTATGGCAGGTATGGTATATTCTTGTATTGAAAATATACCATAACAAATGTTTTCTATTCGTATAAGCTCATGCATCCAATGTATGTTTCCTGGATAATGGACCTCATTGTGTAACTTTGGTAAATCAGCAAGATGTCAATGGTGACATAGCAGTCAGTTTTATTCCAGCTGTTTGCCTGCTTACACCTTTTACTCAGACAGATTGCCAGTCATGATAGTAAATATTAGCTCATTTTCGTTTGCAAAACATTTGTCAGTCTCCAGTAGCATTTCCGAAATTTATATTTAAATCATCAATTTAAAGCGAATGGCATCTTCTGAGTTCTACTATGATTAAAAAAAGGAGGCTAAATTTAGCATTGTAAATGGCAGGAACCAGGAAGGTAAATACTTTGAATCGAAAGGAAAGTCATCTTATGAACATGTAATTTAAACCAGTTGATGACACTCTCCATATAGGTATAAAAAATTTCGTATAAAAGCATTTCACTGGGGTCAAAAGGTCAGTTGGAAATACCCATTGGGGAACTACATTATACACTGAATATAACCTTGAAACAGTTCTGAAACACATGTTAATGTTCTCTTTTTCATGTCATATTGTTTCCCTTGTGACCTGTCTAATGAAATTTTCCTTTTCTTTGCCAAGAATGTATCATATAATCAGTCATCAGGCATCACCATTGTAAAGTATACTTAGCGGTATCTTTCTCAGTTTCAGAAGTACTTACTCATCAGAAGCACTTACTTACATACAATAAACTTATTCATTGAACATCCGGCATGTTCTCATATACATATAGGCAGCACAAATATTGAATTCCATTCAGACTTAAACCCAAGTATTATTAAGATTGTTTTCATCTAGTATTCTTTGCAAAAATTCAATATTGATATAGTTATACATGTGTATGCAAAAATCACTAATACAACATACCATAATAAAAATCAACTTATCGAATTCATATTTAAAGTAAAGGCTCATCCATATGCAAACAAGATAACCAAAATTGGCCAAAGAAAATTTGCACATATTACTTAGAAAAGTCGTACGTACCTTCACTTTCACTGTCACTACTATCATCTGGGGACTCTTTTTTCTTTCTGCCCTTGGATTTTTTTGGTTTCTTCCCTTGTCTTGAGCGACTGTCGTCTATATATCATGTTATAAAAAAAAAGTTTAAAAAATATTATCAGCGACTAATTAGCTAAACTATATTCAGCCGTGACGATCTGTATGGCGTCATATTGTTTCCATTGTGACATTAGTCTCCTATAATGATACCTCCCTTTTCTTTGTCAAAAAAGTTTTAACACCTTTGTATGATATATTCTATTTAATTTAAGAGTCTTGCTGCACACTCACACAAATATATTTCTGTAACGTTTCGTCTGACCTAGGTCAGACTTCTTCAGACTCTGTGCAGTCTTGAGTCTTGAATTAAATAGAACAGTCATGCGCAAAAGCATAAAGTAAGGAAAGGTAGTTAGTTTCATGTAACCCCAACTGTCAATTGTGAGACATAGTTTGCTTTCTCAGTTTCACAAGAACTAACTCATATACAGAAGCTCATTCATAGTGGTGCAAACACAAAGAGATACATAATATAAAAATGTATAGCATCCCAGTTAAACTGTTTATCAATGTATAAAATTTTATTCGATATTATATGGTAATTTCAATAACAACATTTGTACCATATCACCATATGGCAGTTGTCAAAGAGTTTGAATTACCTACATTTAATTGAAAGCAAAAATTTTACCCTTCTCATGAGTAACGACATATTGTGTTTGGATGAATGTGTTTCCAAGATGTGCATGCCTGAGGTCGCTGCTCACTACTCCTTCTGTAACATGAATTAGTAGATTGAAGCATGTTCATACAACCAATTTAACTCAAATTATTAATTATTATTTTATATGCTATATATATATTGATCACAAATATATAAAAAATATATAGGCCCACACTCAAACATGAATACAAATCAGTCGAAGTTTAAAGTATTTAGAAAAATGATGTAATCTTATTTGTTTTACAATAAATAACAATAACAAACATAAATTAGTTCATGAAATGAAATTCGAATTTGATGGTAATGGTAAACCACTGGCATGTTTCCAAATATAATTTAAAAAAATACATAATCAAAGTTTCTAACCTTGACGAGTGAGATGTAAATCTTTGGAACCAAAAACGGGGTTATTATAGTTGCCGCCAGTGACATTGACTATAAATAAAACAATTGAATTAGTTTTAGCACATATTAAATCCTCATCAGCACAATTCATTTCAACTAACTACCGTAATTGTTTAAACTAGAGAGATCGTACTTTATTTAAATTTAGTAGTACAAAAATTAATTTTGAATATATTGCGAGTAAATCAGTGAAATATGAATTGACTTGGCAGCCATAGATCCAATGCTGAAGAAACTAATCACATCTGCATTGAACTATGTTTTAAGATTGTACTAACATAGACCCAGATTCAATAGCATGGATCAGAGATGATTTATCTGTGTTTGACAGCCAAAACTTTAGGAACTCATAGCTAACTATTCCATTTTTTTTCATTTTTATGGGTAAAAGGGGTTTGGTTTCATGCAGTTTACACAAAGAAACATATGATGTTTGACATGATAAACAATACAATACACGATGAAAGTGATATGAGATAAAACAGTACAAAATAATTTCAGTGTTAATGCTATTACAATGTTATTTAAATAAAAACAGAATGATCAATTTGAGTAATTCTACACAGAGAATACCCTACTACCTTGATTAGACTCTGCAACCTGCTTTTCACTTGTTGAAACTGTGTTATGTTCACTTTGAGCAATCCTGCGATCACCCATACTGCGTGAAGTGATTGCTACTTCAGTCAATCTTTGCATAACTATGGAAAAAAGATTCAATGTTATATATGTGTGGGATTGTATTTACAGTGGGGCAAATTTCTCCGATTCCGAGATGTCCTGACATTTGGTTGAATAGAACAAATGCCATGCTTGTCTCAGTAATAATTTGAACGATCGCCATGTGCGGCAGTCGTTATTTGACCAAAATTTAGTGCTAAAACTTTCAATTTCTATGGTAAAGTTTTTACCTTGCATAAATTTGATTATATTTTTCCGAGTAATCCAATGGTGATGTATTTGGATTGCACTTCCTTTTAGTTTATTCAGTTATTGTGCATTACAAAGTTGCCAAAACTATGAAACTTTAAACAAAAGTTTGAACTTTTGCCCCTGAAACATAAAAGTACGGTAGACTACTACACTATACTTGCTGAATAATGGAACTATTTACCAGCTTGTCCAGCATCCTGTACCGGTATTCTTTCTACAAGTTCACTGTTCTGTTCTGTCGGTATTTGGGAATCTTGTTGCTCAGTAGAAATGTTTGTTCTCATCGACATAATTGGATTGTCAGTAGTTACTTCCATCTTACCATCAGTAAAATCTGAACCTTCTGCCATCTTCCAGTCTTTAGCTGTTTATAGGCTGTTGTATGTACCGGTACTAGCTTCGTAGTTATGTCAATTCAGCAATCAATGGAGAGAAAAAAATACAGAAATAGGAAAATGACGGAAAAACCAAATCACAGAAACATACCGTAATTGGATAGCTAGAGCTCAAAAACAATGGTATTACAAGGGGGTGCCTGCGGCCTGGTCGTTCTGATGTTGGCGTCATACACACATACACCATACGTCATAATCATACAAGCTATCTCAATCTCGAGATTTTTCATTGCATATTCTAACATAGATATTTAGCTCATACGCAATCGTGTCTATGCTTTTATATACCCGCTAGGGCATCATTATTCTGTAAATACCATGCATTTTATGTCAGCTCGCTATTCCGATGCTGAATGAAATTGTGGCCTATGAAGTATAGGATAGCAAAATGCTATGTGGTCATCATTAATGCTATTCAATAATTTTCAACACGAAAAGAATATCGCGAAGATTACCGGTACCGGTACCCAAAACCCATAAACATTAGAACCGCTGTAACAAAGTTGGAAATATTACTGTATGTTCCGCTTTTCCTTCTTTGCGAGATGCCGTCTACAGACTACACCTGCGGTCACCAAACTTTTTTGACCGAGGGCCAGGTACCGGTATCAATCTGTGTTGAAAACGAGACAGACAAATATTTTAGGCAATGCAATCAATGCAATAAATTCGCAAAAGTTGGGAAATCCATTCAACAATATAAATTCTACTGTAAATTCTAATTCTATTTCTGAAGTCTTGAATATTAAATTCTATATCGCATAATACGGTATCGATCAAGAACATCATAGCAAAACAAATACTGTATACAAGATTTCTATACAACTATCCAGTCCAGAGGTTGGCTGTTAGCAAAACAATTGCCGTGATGAATATTCGCATCTAAGCGGTACAAAAGTTAATGTGACTCGTAAAATATTGTACATATCGCCGTTGTGCCTTACGTACCTCTTTGTCTTGTGTATTTTACTAGAGTTTTATTTGTATAGTCAGTTCATGTCTGTTGTCCTAGTATAACACAGCAGTCCTAAACTGCTGTTATCATTGTTAGGGGTAGGCTACATGTCGCACATCTGGGTCTTAGCCCAGTAAGGTCTTGAACATGTATCCCGTCTCTGTTTTACTGTTAGGCCGCGAGCCGAGGCCATTTATCTTTCAGTTTCGTAGCGCACATAAGGTAACTACCTGAAAATGATTTTAAAATGTTCCTTAGAAATTTAGTAACAAATATTGCCTTGTTCCCACTTCCAAAAGTTGCACGTTTTACGGAAAAGACGCTTTTACTACAATAAATATGTGTTACCACCTGTCCTATATTCTCTGTTTTTCGGTATCATGGGCCAATGAACGAAGACTTCTGCATGACGTAACAATCAAATTGGTCAGTTGTAGGTGGATCCCCCATGGTCGGATGAATATCAGATGTACTACTGCTCGCTTTTGCGTTGAGTAGCCTTTCCACAGTCTTTTTCAGTTATTATTAATTGAGTTATTCTAAGAAGGTGATAAGGAAATAAGAAAGAATAAGGAAATAAAAGTAATAGATTATCAAATCATACCAGTGTGTTTTTCAGATCATGACTGATATCAAATAGATATTCAAATACAGAAACCGAAACCCCAAAATGGAAAAGGATACTGGAAAAATAATATATTAACATATGAAAACAAAGAATTTTTGGAAGAATTTGAAAAGAGATGGAAAGATTGGGTAACATTACAATTTCTTTTCAAAAGCAAAGCTGATTGGTGGATTGAAATTAAAACTAAAATAAAAGGTCTCGTTTTAAAGCATTCAGTTAAAATAGCAAAAAATGCAAGAAGAGAGTGTATGAAAAATCAGGAAAGCTTAGAAGCACTAAAAAAAATAAAACTAGATAACGGGGAAAAAGTAGTAACAAAGTTTAAAGAACTCAAAAGAAAAATGGTAAAACAACAAAAAGAATCAAGTCAAAAATTATGGATACAAAATAAAGCTAATGAATTTGATTATGAAGAAAAATGTACAAAATGGTTTTGCAAAAAATTGAAGGAAAAACATGAGAAGTGCACAATAGAAAAAAATGAAAGATAGGAATGGAAAGATAAGATGAAAAGTTGGAAATAGGGAAGAAATATTACACAAATTTATATAAAAAACGTGAAACAAACAAAAAAGAGCAATTAATTTTTCTAAACGCCTTGGAAAAAAATCTTAATGATGAGGATGCAATTGAGATGAACTCTAAAATAACTATGGATGAAATAAGAAGAACCATAAAGGACATGAATAAATATAAAACACCTGGACCAGATGGATTAAGCAAGGAGTTCTATGAAAATTGTTGGAAAATAATAAAAGAAAAGTTCACAGAAGTAATGCAGGAGATATATGATGAAGAATACTTACCAATAGAAATGAAATTAGGATATATGACATTATTACATAAAAAAGGAGAAAAAGACTTAATAGAAAATTACAGACCAATAAGCTTGCTGAATTGTGATTACAAAATATTATCAAAGATTCTATCTAATCGGATTAAAAAGGTGATGCCGGATATAATAAGTCAATATCAAACTGCAATACCTGGGAGAAAAATCACAGATTCATTAGTTTTGGTACGAGATATAGTTTCTGAAGCGGAACGAGGCAATAGTAAATCATTTTTGGTATCGGTGGATTTTGAAAAAGCATTCGATTCTGTCAATCTGGAGTATATGTATGAAGCATTAAAAAAAATTGGTTTCAAAAATAAAATAATTAGTGTAATAAAGGCAATGCAAAATAACATGAAAAACTGTATTATCATCAATGGTGGAATAAGTGAAAGCTTTACTATTGAAAGAGGGGTCAGACAAGGTGATCCAGTAAGCTTTTATTTATTTATAATAGCAATTGAGCCATTAATAATATCAATACAAAGAAACCAGAAAATAGAAGGAATAAGAATACCTGGGAATATTGAAATAAAAGAAATAGGATTTGCCGACGATATCACATTAACACTGAATAAGAAAACATCATTGGAAATGGCTATGAAAACAATAGATAAATTTGAACAAGCAACAGCAATGAAATTAAACAAAAACAAAACAAAAATCATGAAATTGGGATTTCAAGAAAAACTGAGCCTTTTAAACATGAATGAAGTTGAAAAAATGGAGATATTGGGTATAACTTTTGGAGGAGGAAATGAAAGAAGCGATAATTGGAACAAATGCATCAAGAACATAAAAGAAAAAGTAGACAAATTGAAGCAAATAAAAGTAACATTTGAAGGAAAATGCCTATTAACAAAGGTTAAAATTTTATCAAAATGTTTATATTTGTCTAGAATATATACAATGCCACACAGGATAGAAAAAGAAATCAAAACCATAGTAGAAAAATATTTTCTCAGCAACAAAACAATGGCAATATCGATTGAAACACTGTGCAAACCAAAAGATATGGGAGGATATGATTTACTGGACATACCTATATTTGTGAAATGCATGTACGTCATGAAGGCATTTGAATATTTCAATTATAGAACTGAAGAGGACCAAAGCATATATAATGCTTATATGGAGTATAATATTGGACACCAGATGAGCAATTATTTCAAAATGAATATGAAAAACAATATAGCACATTGATGCATTTCTCACGAAAACTACAAATGCATTATGGAATTTCTAAAAAAATACAACATAAAACCTGAAGATGTGAAGCATGGTGAACATAAAGTATAATATGACTTGATTGTACGCAATAAATGTGCCCAGGAATTGAGGATATTATATCCTGTTAACTTAAAGAGTGCATATGCGAGTATACACCACAAGATACTACCGAATAGTATGAAAGAATTTAATTATAAAGTTATGTGGAATATTTTGCCCTTAAAGACATTGCCAAGAATCAGAAACATAGAAGGAGATGAAATATGTGTATTATGCAAGAAAGAATCAGAATTAACAACTCATTTATTTTGGAAATGTACATTTGCTCAATCAGTGCTCAATAGATTATTCGAAAATTCGAAAAAATACAAACTAAAGAAAGATTTCAGAACTTGTTTAATGCTTGATTTCAGTGAATATGCATTTTATCAAAATGCTGAAGAGTTGGAGTGTATAATCCTTGTAATCTCAATCACCAGACATAAAATATGGACAGACATAATAATACTATAACCTAAATTACTTATGAATATGTGAAAAATATGTTGGAATATGACAACCAATGGCTTGGATCTTCAAATGGAATACATGTTGAATGAAAAAATTACACATGGAATTGGTGAATGATTCATTAATCAAATTAATATTCTTATTATGATAAAAATGCATGGCTAATTAACTTATTATATTTAAAAAAAAAAAAAGAAGGTGGTAAAAAAGTATGAGTAGGATATTAAACACTTGTATATCCTTACCATAAATAGCAGTTTTAGTTGAGCACTGGCTCATAAGACGTTGTTGAATAGGTAAATAACTCCAAGGAAGGCTAGACCTAGAATAATATGTCACAAACAACGATATTTTCTGACTTGCATGAAAGGTTTATGATTAATTTAATGACAATTCTTGACTATTCAGCAGACTTATACTACTATATAGGCCACGGCATATTTGGAAATATAAATTAATGGCTGTTTCTGTAATGCACGGTTGTGTGAAAGAGAGGAAAATAATCAATTTTACTGATGTCGGTTGGTCTAAATCTAAATTCATTCGAGTCGACAAGAACCTGGGAAGCAACGATAAGTTATGCCGCAGTGGAAAGAAGAGTAGCACTGGAAGCGATTGAGAGGTGAAAAATCAAGTTGTAGACAGACAGTTGATGTTTTAAAATATAGGGCATTTCATATTGGAATAAATCGAAATTCAGTGTGGATATAGTCTAGAACCGGTATGCAAACACTGCAGGACTGTAGTACATGCAATGACTGAGCATGGATACGCTTATTGAGTACATCAGATAAAATGCATTATGTATTAGTCAGTATTTAGTGGTATTTTTACACTCATGCTATTCCAAATATGATTTTCTTCCTCATTTTAAATACTGTACTACAAAAGAAAACGGCAATGTTCCACCAATTCAACCTAACGCAGGCTCTAATCCCTGCTGCTATCAGTGCTATAAAAAAGATCGAACAAGAAGTCTTGAAGCGTAAAGGTATATGAGAATCATAACAGTTGCAAACAGCTTAGATGGGCTATTCATAATGAAATACTTTCTCGCTTTTCTGCAATTGGAACTGCCCATCAAACTGATGTTGGAGACTTCATTAAGTTTTTCAATTCTTTTTTTCTCAAATATGAAGATCTTTTGAGGTCAACGAGGCATTAATAAATAAAGCTGAGGAATTTGTTTGTTCACTGTATGGAGAGGATATGAAGAATGTAAATGATTTCAGGCACGTCTTTTTACCACTGGCAAACATGGATTATACTCTTCCACCCAACAATTATTCACTGAAGAAGCATGTGGGGCAAGAAGCAAGCAAGCTGATGGAAAATTACCTGGCAGGACTTCATTATTGTTGCCTAGAACCAAGGCCAATTATTCTCCCACCTATCGGCCATAGATGTGTTCTTGATAATGGTGTTTTGCGGGTTAAATTGATGGATCTACTTCCAGCCCCCAAATCAGTTCCTGAGTTGGCAAACTGCAAGTGTTGGCAATAGTCAAAATAATATATGCACGTGTGCCAAAAGCAACCTAAATTGCACAGATTTTTGTTTTTGTATTGACTGCAAAAACCACAGTACTCTTATAGAGGAAAAGTCGATTTTCAAGATAGTGGATTTCGGAA